CAAACGACCCTCGATGTATGTATGTATGTATGTATGTATGTATGTATGCATGTATGCAGATGTATGTATGTATGTATGCATGTACCCATGTATGTATGTATGTACGTACATAAGGACGTATGTACGTACGTATGCAATTGTGTGAATTCGTCAGGGAGGAGGCCGATGCGAACTCTGGTCATTGGAAGATCCGGATGGAGGGGGGTTGTCACATCCTCGTATGACGGGTATGGGGGGTGTTGACCTGGGGATTGTGTCTTGGGGCTGCTTGGAGCATATTTACCAGACGGACAGACAGGCGGACATTCACGTACATAGCATGCACGTGCAAACCAGAAATTCACAGAAAGACATACATGCATACATGCATGACGTGGGTTATGTGTGGGCTGTGTTGGACCGAAAATTGACCGTGTACTTCGGGTTGAAATTTGGGAAAAAGGAGGTTGATTCGACCTTGGCTCATCTGCAGACATCGATTGCCTAAACTGGCCATGGCTTATTTATAATCCAGTGCTTGGAAATAAATATCAAACGATTGATGGCTCGCCAGACCGATTTGGCACTTGTGTATCGGATTGCCACATTTGAGTGGTGGTGAGGATTCCCGTCCGTCCGTCCGTCCATGGAAGAGAAGAAGTCTGAACATACGGTATGTACGGCACTACGCTACGTACCTGCTGTACCTACCCGGGAATGTCTCCCCGGGAGTCGTACGGTACTGGTCTGTGTTGTACATTGACCCCAGGACTTGATCCTGGCTTCGGACTGGGCGGGCCAGACGGCCTTAGATATAGATCCTTTGACGTGGGTGGGCGGGGTGAGATGACGAGATTACGGCTTTCAGGGTGCTTGAGGAATGTTCTGGCTCACGGAGTAAAGTCACGCTGTTGTGCGTGGGACCTGCGTGGGGCGGGAGAGGGGGGTTGTAAGAGTTGGGAAGAGGGGAAGAGCGAGGTGCGTGTGTGTATATGTGACACGGCTAGGCGGCAACGTGCTGTGAAATTAAAATTATTTTTGCCAGATCTTTGTTTCGTCTGGGAGGTTGAAGGTAAGAGAAGGATCACTTGTGTGATGATGCGCATGCACGACGAGTAATTCATATGTGTGTATACATATGTATGTACGTATGTATGTAGGGATGCCGGAGGGAGGGAAAGTGATGGATCGAAGGCAGGCAGGGGACATGTAGGGAAAGGAGCTCGTGGTTGTCCGGATACCTGCCGAGCACGACAGGTTAAAAATAACGCTGCCAACCTCAGATGGCCTCACACGCGCGAATTTGCCGTGAATTCAAGCCAATTACTGAGTACGACGTTATTCCGTGTACTTCCATACGAACATGCTTTCGGGGGCCTTATCACCCAGGTGTGGTCAAAGGCGTGTGGGTTTGGGCTGGTTTTGGAGCTGCTTGGGACTGAACTCCGCCATCAGCATGTGCGGTATGTTTCGTTCGGGGGAAGCGGACTTTGTATCAGACATTGTGGTTTGCGATTGCTTTGGGGGTTCTGCACTCGGATGCGGCGGCGGGGGGGAAGCCGCGCGGGCGTCTTGGTTTTACGGTAGGTCATCCAGCGTGGCTCCCCCCTTGCATGTGTGGGAAACTGTTTAGCGTGAGCATGGTTGGGTGGGTGTTCGGATGATTTTTGTATTTCTGTCTGTCCTGGGGGGGAAGAACCCCCTTCAAATCCGGATGGTTGTTTTCGTTTCAATGGTGCATTAGGTTCTCCCTTGGTAGAGTCTCGTTCGCAAGGGAAAGCTGGACACAAGGTTTAGGATACGCAAAACATGCGAGTTGGTTGTTGTGCTTGTTAGAGCTACCGCGTTCTTGATTGTTTGCATCATCAGGACATGTGCTCGTGCGTGGTGTCATTTGTCTCTCTCGCATTGACTCTGGAGAGAAAATTTGTCTAGTGATCAAGTGGGTTAACGCGGTTAAGCTTTGTTTTGAAACCTGAACCAGTTTTCTTCTTGTACTGCACCCGAGGTGTCATTGGACGTACAGCTATCGGTAATTTACATTTGAAGGTGCGGGGGGGCATCCGGCGTGCGATTCCGCAGTTGATGGATTTGTTTTTGGTCAACAGCAGTGTGCTTAAGGATATGACCTGCTGTGGATTTCGGGTTGTGCTTTTGCTGGCAGTTGAGTGGGTTGGCAGTTGAGTGGGTTGGCGGTTTGAGTAGGGTTGGCAGTTGAGTGGGTTGGCGGTTTGAGTGGGTTGTTCGGTTGGACTTAATTCGGTGAGATGGCTAGGGAACTGGATTGCAGGGGCTAGGGGTACGCCGCGTGTCCTGGTGGTGTTTTGATGCGTGCGTGTGCGTGCTTGCCGAGCAAGTGCAGATCACCACCCGACGAAAGGTGCGGGGTTTTGGTGTGCGCTCCCCCGCATACCCTGACCCAGATAAGGCGCAGGGGAAATGGCGAGGTGCGGTGGAATGCAGCCATCACTGCAAAGCAGAGCTCGCAGATGACCACTGCTAAAGACGTGGCGTTAGCCACCGTATTGCCCTAAGTTTTTAAACTGAACAAAGCACCGTTTATACGAGACGGGCGTTTCGGTTGACTTTCAGTTATTCCTTTTTTGCTTTGAATGTGGTATGGCTGTTGTTTGTTGATTTTCGCCATCTTGGGCTTGGGAAATGTTGGTGTCCAGGCGATGAAGTAGGTAGATTCGCGTGGTTTGGTCGCTCGGGGAGTTGAGCATTTGCGCATTTGGGGGCAAGGATTCCGGGCGTAAAGCGGGGACGGTGAGGGGTACTGATATTACGCCCGACTGGGAGCATGTTTTTTCCGTTTCAAGATGCTTCACGGGCTTTTGGGGAAGCCCCCGGGAGGAAATGGCTAGGGACACGCAACGCTCCCCCGCACGTGCATATGATCGGACCGCCTCTTGCGCCATGGCACGTGGATGGAGACGTACGACAATCCGTCGTACTTTTTCGTGTATGTGCTCGCTTGTTACAGCACATGGCGCCTGGCAGCATTATTTTCTGCTGAGGCGTGTCGCAGCTCTTGCTAGGAGTGTCACGCGGAGCATTGCGTCGTCCTAGTTCTGCCATCCTCCATACCATGCTCGGCATGTAGCGTGTGTGCAAGTATGTATGCATGTATGTATGTATGTGCACATGCGTGTGCAAGGCCGAGCTGGTTGGAGTGAGGATGAGGGGGCTTCCGCCTGAGTGGTGGGGGACGATGTACTTAGGGTTGTGTGTGTGGGGGGGAGAGGAACGGTGGGTTCCGCCCTCACCTGGACGGTTTGGAGATAGTTTAAACTCCTGCTTATTTAATACGGCCACAGAGCTTCGTTTTCTGCATCCCGCGGGGTGGCCGCTTGTACGTGGGGACCGCAGCGGAGGGGTAGTGCGGCACGTTAGCCTTTTTTTATGTATGACATTGGACCACGCTTGGCCACGCTGGGTGCAGCCAGGGATGGCAGGAAGGAGTGTTGGAAGGAGTGTGGTGATGACGCTGGGTGGGCACGAGGGCTGAGTGCCTGTGCGTGTGTGTATGTTTGTGTGGTTTGGAAGGTGGGTGCCGTTGTGTGTGGCGCTGGCGGGAAAACAACATCGATGGTGTTTTCCCGGCAGCGCCACAATATCGTGGGTTGATTTGCTCAGTACGGAGGGAATGTGCACCCAGCTGCCGAAGGCAATGCCTGGGGCCCCGTCCCGCAGATTCCCTTTTTATGTCGTACGATTCCCTCCGTGCTTTTTACTTTTTGGAATGCTCGTAGACTTTTTCATACAAATTTTGATGACGGCAGTGCCTGTGCTGCTGGAAGCGCGGCTCCAATCCCGCAACTTGCCTAGGGCTATTTGTCGGTGCAAGTGCGCTGTGGTTGTGGCTTGTCGGCTTCCAGGCGGCGTTTACTCTTTGATGGAAAGGAAAAGGGAACCATCATCGGGTTCATCGGAAATATATTTATGCTGGATTGGCTAGGGGTGACGTCATGCAGTCTGGCGGGCCGTGGTTATGTCGTTGCAGTTGCAATCGTTGCAACGGTACGTCCTGTTGCAACTGCGGTTGTTGCAGTTGTGCCGTTCGAATATCGGTTATACGGCGTGGTTTGGTGTTGCCCACACGGGAAACGCTGCCACACCACTTTGCAACGCCATGACGTCATTCTTCTGGTACGTCACCCTAGAGATGCCAATATTCATATCCCATACTGGGGTGACGTGCTGCCGCCGCCCGCGCGCCCCGGAATGAGTATCCTAAAATTGCAACCGAATTGGGGTTTGCTGTTTCAATAATTGGGGAGGCAGCTCTTTTGAATGCCCCAAGCTGTCTCGGCCCAGAGGCCATGCCCGACCATGTGCATCATGGGGCAGCGGTCGGAGATGAAAGTTGTGGCGTGTAGCCGTGCTTGGATTAACGGCTTGAAGGCAACAGGGTTGACAGCTATGACGCGGGTGGGAGGTACCAGGGAGGATGGGTTGCGGGTGGGACGTACTCGAGGCACTTTGGCTCCAAGAGTAATGAAGTTTTTTATGGAATCCTGCCCTAGTATGTTGTACGATAAGGAGACGGTCAAATACTGCTTTTGGTCGTCGTACAGGCGGAATTTGTCTCCGATTTGCCACCGGCGTCTCCTCACTAAACAATGGCGTTGGCATTGAGCGGGGAATGGCGTAAAGGTTGAAGTGTCGGGTTGTCGGTGTTGAAGTTGGGTCGGTGTAACCGGGCATGACGCCAACAAGGTTTGGGTCGGTTGCCTCAACGGACAGAATTTGACACAAGTTTCGAGGGACGAGAGAGGATCCGACTGATTTAGGGCCGCAGCACAGCATCCACCGCTGGGAAGAGAAGGTGCAGAAAGCGCTTCTGTAAGTGTAGTCCGATGTTTCTTGAGCCTGGCCAACGAAACCAAAAGAAACCGATGACTACTACTGCAGCGTACTGCTGGAATGAGAGCTAAAGGGTACATCGCTTGTCCTCATAGTGGATGAATGCCGGAATATTGTGTTCAGCCATTTTAACTAATATCGCCAAGACTCCGCTAGGTGAGGTTCTAGGAACAACCACCGATTAGAAATCGTGGCGCTCATTTATGCGTGAATGCTACTGTGGCCATAGTAAATTGCAGCCTTAAAAGCTTGCAGATTCCTCGCCCATCTTAAGCTCCCGGCATCCGGGACCCCGGCACGGTAGGCGGTACTTGCGCCTTCTCGTTGCACAACCCGTTGTTGGTTACTCCGTAACCGTCATCTCCGCAGTCCACACCCCGACTAGTGGGGCCTCCATGACTTTTTGATTTATTTAGGGCCGATTGTTTCAAGGGGATCGCCATTGCTTTGTTTCCCTCTTGGCGGCAGGCGAACCTCGATCGGCGGACTCTCTAACAATTTTAGCTGCAGCTAGCGCCGTGACGCTACCTGTGCTTGCAGACATCGTATGCACTGCTCATGATTTCCAACTATGCCATTCCCAAATCCGAAGGAAGAACTTTATTAGGGGCTACGCCCAACCGGGCCTAAGTAGTCGGCAACCTTTTAAGCTCAAGCCAGTTGATGGAGGCTGTAATTTATTCCTTTTGAAGGTCTTAGGTGGACTAGTTTCCAACTCCATGGCGCTCGGCCAGCTCTTTAGCTCTCAAGGCTGCCGCAACTTGGCAACCGCAGTTGGGCCCCGTAGCTTCGCTTTTAGGCAAGGACTGTTTGGTACATATTGGAAATGCGCAGCAGCACGTCGATGCACTTTCCCTCTGAACCCAATCCAGCATGCATGCTCCGGGGCTGTCAGCGGAATTACTTCCGGGCCCGGTGATGAAACTGCGGCTACGGCAACCTATCCACACGTCCCTGTGATGCTCAATGAAGTTCTGGACGCCTTCCAGCCTGTCACCCTCAACGTGTACCTGGATTGCACGCTGGGCGCTGGGGGCCATGCAGCAAAAATTGCGTCCGCGCACCCCGTGAGTTTGGGGTTATGATAAAAACACCTTGAGGATGTGTCAAAGTAATAAATAAAACAGTTTAGGTGTGACCCAAAACACAGAATGCCTGGGAACGGTTCCCAGTTGCCCCCATTCGTTCCCCCAAGGTTGCGGAGCATGTCTCCTCTACGACGCAGGGTTGGCTTCGCAGCATAAGCGGTCGTTCGCCGCTGTTTACTGCTTCACATTACGCGCTGTTCCTTAAATTGTCTAACAGGAAATGCAAATGTTGCTGGGCATCGACCTGGATCCTACCGCGCATGTCGTGGCGGAGCCACGCATCCGTGCAGAAGCGGCGGGCCGCAGCGCACGGCTGGACGTGCGGCTCCTGCGAGGGAACTACAGGTGCTATACATCCGCGAGGATTATGAGGAAGATCTTGGCAGGGGCTGGCAGCGGGGTTGTATGGTGAAGCGGACTTGTATGGTGCTGAAGAAGACGACATGTGGGCCTTACGTAATCAGCGCGGGAAAAGGTGGAAAGGGATGCGGGCCCGACCCTTCAATCCAACAGTTTCATCCCTTTCGTGGTCCACGTCAGCGCGTTAAGGGATTTTTCCATTACACAAGCCATAAGCAAAGTGTTTGGTGGTCAGGTACTTTTGCTTCAATGCTTTAGGTTTGCGCTGTTGCGTTGACCTACCCGCATACATGTCACAGAGATCTCAAGCGGCTTTTGGCAACGGTCAGCACCCCGTCACCTCGGCCAAACGGCATCTTGATGGACCTGGGGATTTCCTCTATGCAGGTATGCCGCAGTGCAATATCATTCAAGTATCGTGCCCGGCAGCCACACGTGGAAATTGCAACCTCTCCTCCCGCTTGTTCCCCACTACCGTGCCAACTCTCGTAGCGTGCATTACTGCCATGCATGGGTGTGGATGATAGATGGATGCCTGAACCCTGCTGGGTCCGCGTGCGCCCTCGCCATTCCAGATTGACACTGCCGATCGGGGCTTCAGCTTCATGCGCGATGGGCCGCTTGACATGCGGATGGACCCCACTGCAGCGCTTAGCGCGGAGGAGGTGGGTGATGCAGTCAATGAAACGCAGGAATTCGTGGGGAACTTCTAAAAGCTACTAGAACACAGTAGCATACGGATATGCGTTGGCGAACCTGTCCACTACAGCGGTGTGTTTGGGCATGCTATGCCTTACGCAGGTGTTGAATACCTGGTCAGAGGCTGAGCTTGGTCGCATCATACGGGACTTTGGGGAGGAGAAGCTCTGGAAGGTGGTTGCCCGCAGGTGAGGAAGAGGGGATAGGAACGGCTGGCTATTTGGCCCTTTTGGTGTCTTTAGGCTGGGGCACATGTGCATATGATTTAGTCTAGGACATTTTGCGCAAAGCATTCCTCCACGTGTGTTGCTTTTAATAGGTCCGTGACCGCAACATTTGGCAGGATTGTGCAGGCGCGGGAGGTAGCGCCAATTCGCACGACTCAGCAGCTCGTGAAAGCAGTTGGACAGACGCAACTGGTGGGCAAAAGTCCAAGGAAAGCCTCTGCTAAAGGGATACATCCAGCAACCCGGACCTTTCAGGTAAGGCATGAAGGCAAAGGAGTGCGTCTGGTCTTTTAGCAGCACGGCAATGTCTTATGACTCTTCATGCAGGCATTACGCATAGCTGTAAATGACGAGCTCCAAAAGCTCGAGAAGGTAGGTTATCCGCTTGCGTGACAATTCGCTGCTAGGGCTGCTGCGGAAGCTTCTAAAGCCAGGCTTTCCATGTGATTTCAGACTCTGCCCGATGCTATCGACGCGCTGGCGCCAGGAGGGCGCTTGGCAGTGATCTCCTTTCATAGCCTGGAGGATCGTATTGTCAAGCATGCATTCATGCGAGCTGCTGGGAGACCCACGCCCGAGGAGGAGAACTTAGTCTACGGGCAAGACAAGTTTGTTTATCTTGATTTGCTGGAGCAAAGAAAGGTGGCCGCTTTGGTGACGCGCAAGCCAATTGTGCCGAGTGCTCTGGAGACGGAGGCGAACGCACGCGCGCGTAGTGCCAAACTACGAATACTTCAGAAGCTTCCGGACAAGTTGTAGCGAAGCTTGAGAGTTTACAGATCAAGATGATAGTTTATCTCATGGGCGAGGGGGCATTGGCCCAGTGCACGCAACTTGCAACTGACCGTTCGTTACGGTGGTAACTAACTAACTCTTCGGCCCAAGGCAGAACCACACCGAATCACTCCGATATTGCCACGTCAAACGTCAATGTCAATCATGCAAGCATGGTTGCAGTTACAACGATTGTTATTATACATGGGGTCATGTCAAGCGTTCCGCAGGCAACGAAAAGCAACGTCCTATGCAGCATGTTCACGCATATCATGCGAGCATGGGCACGCCCTCCTTCTTTTGTTGCTTGCTGATGAGCGACTTGTGGATGTGCGGAATGACACCACCGCCGGCGATGGTGGCCTGCAAGGCAGAAGGGAAGCGCGCGGGAAGCAAGCAAGTGGTTATGCAATAAATCCAAATACGGTAGTTTAACGATGCTGAGAATTTTCGATAATATGTTCGCGACTAAGAGGGCAGGGTAAACAACAACGCGCACGGTCAAACATCCCTGGCTGCGCACCTTAATGAGCGTGTCAAGCTCCTCGTCACCACGAATAGCGAGCTGCAAATGGCGCGGTGTAATACGCTTCACCTGCACTCATAGAAAGCAAGGTAACCTGGTCAGCGCACACCTTTCGCCTCAAGACCTTGACAATCTGGACGAAGTCGCACCTTCAAATCCTTGGAGGCGTTGCCGGCAAGCTCCAGAACCTCAGCAGTAAGGTATTCTGTAATAACAGAAAAATAAGGGCGGGCAAAACATCAGCTAGGCCGGGCTGGACTCAGATGCGTTCCCAACTTTCGCTGACCTAAGATAGCCGCAGCGTACACCGCAGACGTAGCACCAACACGACCGTTAGCTGTGACGCGGCTCTGCAAGGGCATGACGGTCAATCAGCTGAGGTTCGTCAGGTTCGTCAACGATGGACCAAAGCTTCCACAGCTCACCTTCAGAAGACGGTGAATACGGCCCACAGGGAACTGCAGGCCGGCCTTTGCTGAACGACTCGTAGGCTTCTTCTTGTCGCCCTTCAACTTGTCGCCCATCGTGCCCTTGGCACCCTTGCCGGAAAGGCCCTTCGCGCCCTTGCCCGACATCTCTGGATTACTTTTTAGACGAGGTAAAGAGAAGGTTGACTGAGGAAAATGTTGCTTGATTCAGTGTAGGTCGCGTCAATAAGAACGCACGAGCAGAGAACGGGATTTTAAGCTTGGTAAAATACGACTGCCGTACAAATTGCCCCGCTGAGAAACCGTTGCACTCCAAACCGTCAGTGAAAGGAACAATTGTCATGCCTGCGGTGTCATGCTTACATCAGGTAAGCTTGGAAGGTCTGAAGAGGCCATGTGCAAAGTAACAGCTGGGAATGGATTGACCGAGCAGGTCGATAAGCCGCATGCGCTGGACTCAAATATTTCCAAAAATATTCATATTAATGTCTATTAACTCCATGCTTCTTTCGCTTTCACCGAATCGGACTAGGCTGCTTGCACCGAGCGGACTGATACTACCATCGTCTACATTCTCATGCAATGTCGCCTTAAGCTGGCGAACGGATGCAACATGTTTTGGTGCCAACTCTGCTGTGCACGAGCACTCGCGCATCAGTAATCCATACCTGTCGAGCTGTAAGGGTGCCCCTGCCCAGGGGCAGTCCCTGCAGATACAGCGCTAAAGACAAATCCTCACTGTATCTCAAGCCTTCTCCTCGGAATGTTCCTTAACAGAAAGCCACTAAGGCGAGCGACGCATGTTGCTCTTTGCCGGATTTGGATTGCACAGCATGCAGATCATAACTGTCGAGTCAGGCCTTGCCCTTATCGCCTAAGGATGCGGCCGCGTCTAACGGTATAAGATAGAGGGGACTCCCCTATCTCTACCCACCCTAAACCATGTATTCCGAGTGAGGGTTTTAAGCGGCGCCCCCCAGCTATTGGATAGAATTAGTCATCCATGTTCTCTCACTCTTTGCCAGGCAAAACTTGCACACTATCTCTCCGCCACATCTAAATGTAGAAGAGTCAAGCAAAACTAATAATTACTACATATTTCAACTACACCTCCTAGTGAGCCGCATTGCTTTCCGAGCTTAGAACACGGCTCTCACCTGTACGCATTTGTAAAGTTTCATCATTTTGGATCAGCTAAAAAAAGCCAGGCAAACGTACCCAATGCCTCCGATAGTAATGATCTGGCCGTTTATGAAAATTGCAACACACGTTAAAGTATCTGTGATGGAAATGCTCTGGCATACGAACACCTGGTTTTAAGCGGTCGGCCCTGTAGAACAGTTACATTGTGACCCACGGGTCCTCTTAAGGTGACTCCTCTTTCACGACGCAGACCGAAGCTACGCAGCAGCCCCGTGCAAGCCTCCCGCCAGCGGTTCATGTCGTGGCCCTCTCAGCAACATAGAAGACACGGCCGTAGCCTTAAAATCCACGCTCCTGTTTAGGCAAGTACGATTTACCGACGTTACTTGATACCCCTGCGGTGATTTTGACGGGCAAGTGAACACAGATCGCGCCTGGCCCCACCCTGTGCTGTACATAGTCTGTGCAGCGCAAGGTGGGTAGTTTGCGCTGTATTTATTGCCGCGAAGACGCCCACGACTTCCACCGGTCGACTTCCCACATTATCATTCAGTTCATAGGTGGACCGCGGCGCGCATGGAAGACATAATGAAATTGCGTTATATGACAACCGAGTGATCCAACTCTGTAGGCGGTACTACATTTACAGAGCACGTGACGCCGCCCGCTCTAAACGTCACAGTACGCACAGGCAAGCTTCAAGCAAAGAGGATACACCATTCCGCAATGCGCTGCAGCTCGCAAAGTCATACGTTTGCTTTTGGTACCTAGCGCATTGCAGCGCTACAGAGTTTAGGAGAGCAGGGGCTGCACTGCGCGTACCCGGGCACCCGAGCACAGCGGTTTCCGAGCATCGTGGAACGGTCACCGGGCCCCTTCCAGCTTCCCCCTCAACCACCCCCGCATTCCAGCTGCTTTCTAAAAAGCGGCACACGCTCGTCTTCGCATTCGATTTGAGGCGCCATTCGTCGCGCAACCCTGTGCCGTACGGGGCCCTTGGACGGACCGAGCCTTACAGCGACAACTCTCCGAGGCCGATTCGACTCCCTCATCCCCACTCATCACCTGGGTCCCTGGCAATCCGCCGGCCCACCAGCCTTGCTGATTGGCCGCCTGCACCTGCCCTCCGGCCAATGGAGGATGGCACACATCCTTTGGAGAGGGCCATGCCGCCCGGCCGACCCTCAACCAACCGGTTGCAGGCTGGGCAGAACCGAAGGGTGGCCTTGTCCCTGAAGGGAATGATGACGCGGGATGAACTCCACCGCACCTTGCCACATCTGGTCTAAGTCCCCTCCTAACGCCAACCTAAATCCCGCGATTTCGTGGTTTGATTGTCAGTCTGACATGGACGGGAACCAGACAGCTGCATTGTATAGTTATTAAACGAACCCCTGTCGGGGATGGGAGCGCGGCACGCGCCACACGCTGCCCCTCGCAACGAGCACTACCAATGGCTTTTGGCCTGCCGTAAACCCGGCCTGCATCAGAGCCCGTGCAATGCCAAACCCAAAATTGCAGCAGCCTGGGGTAGCGACCTTCACCTCTGCGCGAATTCAAGTAGCGGGATCCATGTCCAGGGCTACCAAAACCCCAACTTGACACGACCGGCCCTGAGAAACAGTAATGGATCCAGGGAGCCGGATAACAAACCTGTTTCCCGTTGGCGGGTCAGCCATAGTTACGGCCTGCCAGTGGCAGGCCAGGGAGGTTGTGAGCGTCCCCCAACCCCCCCCGACATGTGGACTTTGTCCAAGTAGTTGTCTAATAGCCGACGTAACCAAAGCTTTTGTTTTACTAGGCTGGTGTACATCCGTCATATGTAGACCTGACCTGCACGCGCGGCCTAACTGCATGCATGTGGACTGCGGTGAACTGTTTTAAAGGTTATCCAAAGCCCTCGACAGCTGCGTACAGCGCCTCCTCCTGCCCTGTCGCTCCGCCCAAGCCCAAGCCCACTCTCGCTTCACCCAAGCCAACTTTTCAGCGCCGGAACAATTTCAACAGCTAGCACCTGGAGTATCGTCTTCTCCACCCGCGTCATGCTATGGAGCACCGCCAGACGGGAGCATTCGGACCCGGTTCATCTCTATCCATCGCACATACACAAGCAGGCGAGCAATAAGGCGTCATCTAAAGCCGATTGGCGGGGTCTAAATCCAAACGCCGTGCTGCATACTCACCAACCTCACCATACAACTCGCACACCTTGCGCCGGGCACCGACCCTGGCCCCAAAACACGAATCCTGATAGGACCTCCAAGTTTTGCATGTGTCACAACCTCACAACTACGTAAGTCTATGACCGTAACGACGTGCACACACACCAAAACCAATCTACCCTACCCACAAGGCGTACATGCCGGTACCCAATGCACCACAAGACGTTGCCCGTGCCTGTTTTTCGGCCCGTCCAGTTCTGTCCCATCTCCCCATAACACGTTACATTTCAAGCATTTCCTTGACCCAGTTTACGTCGCCCACTCACAATAACATAATGGGGACCGCAGCACCGCCCTCCACGCCCGAGACCCCCTGATAGCTCTCCCATGTATAATACACCCGCCCCCTGCGCATCCTCCTCCCTACCTCCACTAATCCGGGCAGCATAGGCTCCCTTTCAGTTCGAAGACAGGGCCCGGGCGCGGTAAACAGCCGCAACCCTACGCTAACCCAACCACCAGCGGGCAGCGAAATGGCTGAGGGCTGAGGATTCCCGAAAGCCTCTCCCTTTCGCCGAGCTGCCCACCCATCCATCTTCTCCTCCCAACCCTCTCGGCAAGCACCCAACCACCGGCCCGCATCTCATCTCAGTGCTTCGCGCCCGGTGCCGGTGAGCCCTCCCTGCTGTTTCCTTCGCCTAGCCCTGCCAGGCTGGGTGATGATTCCCGGAATCGGTTTAGGATGGAGCTCCACTTCTCAGGTACCCGTATCGAGCCGTCGTGGTCGAGGAAGTGCGGCGCGGCGGGCAGCGCCAGCGGCAGCTCGCCGCGGCGCTCCGCCTCTATGAGCGCCAGCTTGGGACAGCCCTCACCCTGGACACCCTTGCCAGGGTCCGGCACTGGGTCGAAGTCCACAGACCGCGAGGGGTCAGTGGGGTACAAGCGCTGGAGCTGCGTGATGAGGCGCTTGATGGACTGTTGTAATAGTTGCCGTTACAGTTGCCGTTGCCGTTGCAGTTGGGAGTTGCGAGCCGTGAGGGATTACCGGGTGGACATGGCCATGCAGCACAGGTTGGGAGAAAAGGCAGGGAAAGCGGTTTCCGGTGAGATTAGGTTGCGAAGCACTCCAATGACGCACGCGCTTGTGCGCCACACACACGCGCCCCTTCCCAGGGTATGATGTTCTGCCATGCTTTCTCATTCTGGCTGGGCTGCGCAAAGGAAACGCTGAGGACGTCGCACCCTGCCAGGTGTCTGTCACAGGTGCCTGCGCGCGGCGTCAGGAAAAGAAAAGCGCCTGGATGATTTCCTTGGCCCCACTCCCTTCTTAACACATAGCCTTCAGCTTCCTTCCGTCAAGTGGCGGCGGAACCATGGCATAGGGATCGAACCCGGGTACGACAGCGGAGGCTGCCACGGCTGCCATGACCGGGGGGGGGGCTTCAGGCAGGTGATCGCGCTGCCGGCAGGGAGTATCGGCGGAAGCTGCGCTCTACGATTGCAGAAATAGTGCTTGAAGGGAGTTGTAGCGGCGGCAACGGCGGACCCAAACTCACCTTCTTCCCCGTTCAGGGAGCCGCCTTGCCGCAACGCACCCCCCCGGCTAGTTTTCCGCTCCTTTCCATTCCCTATCCAATCACCCGAGGCTGCCCGTTTGACATCTCCCCAATCCTTCCTTCACCCCCCCCGGCAACGGATTGCGCACCGCCCCGAGGCGGCAGCAACCCTTTACCCCTTGACCCCAACGTCACAGGACCGCCACACTCCTCGTACAGGGGCCGGGCCTCCTCACACACGACGCCATCCCAACACCACGTGGATGGGGTGCTGCCCCGGGCCTCTGTACCGCCCTCTCGCCCTCTCCCCTCCCCTCCAGTCCAGCGCCAGCTGCACCCTCGTACCCTCTAGTCCCGTTCCACCATTATCAACGTCCCCCTAACAATCACAGCCTCCACAACCCCGCCTCCGCCCCCTAGCCCTGCATCCTCTGCCCCCAGCCAACCCCAGCCTCCACCCCCGATTCCCCAGCCTCCGGCCCCCAGGGCCCCCCTTCCGGCCCCCAGCCCCCCAGCCTCCGCTCCCCGCACCCCGCGTCCCACCCTCTGCCCCCAAACCCCCTCCAGCCTCCGGCCCCCAGCCTCCACCCCCCAGCCTCCGCCCCCCAGCCTCCGCATCCCAGCCCCGCACCCTCTGCCCCCAGCAGCCCCCAGCCTCTGCCCCCAGGCCCCAGCCTCCGCTTCCCGGCCCCCAGCCTCTGTCACCAGCTCCCCCCTTCTGCTCCCCGCCCCCTCTGCTCCCCGGCCCCCAGCCTCCGCCCCCAGCCTCCGCGGCCAAGCCCCACAGCAACCACCTCACCTGGAAATACTTTCGCGTGGCCTCGTCGTTCATGATGTGCGCCTGGCCGTTGGTGTTCATGACGTGGGAAATCTTCTCGCGGGCGGAGCGCTCGTGGATGCCCACACTCGTGACACCGATGGGCCACGGCGCGTTCCCGATCGCCAGCTTGAGGTAGATGTCGTTCGCATGAAGGTAGTTGCGGTTGCGCATCGCCTGTACCATCATCCACAGCCCCGTCAGCAGCTCGTCCGCAAGCTGCCGGTTCCGGAGCCTGTCGTACAGGGGCTCCATGTTGCGCGCGGTTTGCTTGTACGCAAAGGTAGCTTGAATGCCTACGAGGTGTGGATGGGTGGTGTTTGGATGGGTTGGTAGCGGGAGAGGCAGAGCGAGGAGTACAACACCTAACCCCCTGGGTGAGCTAATCACAGGCGGAATTACAGGCGGACATGCACGACGTGTCCCAGCCACTGCCGTGTTCAAGGCAGGATTAGGTTAAGCGAAAAAGGGGAGAGGAGGAAAAGGCGTATGGGCCGTAAAGTACACATTCGGACATGGACAAAACAGGCCCAGCAGGGCGGGAGGGAGGACATCCAAAGCGCGGCCGGCGGGTGGGATAGGTACAACTGTAGATAGATAGATAGATAGATAGATAGATAGATAGATAGATAGATAGATAAAGAGAGAGAGAGCTGAGGACAGGATGAGGCACGCGCAGACAGGGGGAGAGATAGATAGAGGGGCACAATTGCAGTCCGCTGCGGCTCCCGTTTCCCCGCTCCCCTCACCTGAACTGCTGTCCTTGACTACATCAGGCCGGTGCTCCAGATCATCCTCCCACTCCCTCATCCAGGCCTTGAGGTACTTGGCGATGCGGTCCTCTACCGCCATGGCCTCCTCTTTGCGGCGCTCGGCCAGCTCCGCCGCGGCACGTTTGAAGGCCTCCAGCGTCGCATCCTCGGCAGAGGGGCCCCCGGCCGTTGCGGAGGAGCCGTCGGCCTGGTGTCCGTGTCCGGCCGGGGAGGCGGGGGAAAGCGCAGGCGGAAGGGCGCACACGAAACACGTGTGCATAAAAGAAAGGGGAAACACAGTGTGGGGTGGGGCAATACATGCAAAAGTCCAGGAGATAGGTGCCGGCGTTCGAATCACGGTTTGTGTGTGTGTGTGTGTTTTGGGGGTGAGGAAGGGGGGTTTGAGGGGGAATTTCGTGGAATGTTAACAGCGACATGGGGCAGCAAACGAGGCAAGAGATTGCGCGGGGGACCGGGCGGGGACATAGGACTGTGGTGGTCTGTCGGGAGCATGACTGGCGGTGGTTGTTCTTGTCGATTGTGGAGAGCGAGGGTGGGTGGTGATGGTGGTGATGATGGCCATGTTGTGGAAGAAAGGAAACAGCAGATATAAGTGTGCTAGCTACGGCAGCACATGTCACCGCTTCCACCCTCTCAAACCCACTTTACAGCCCATGCTTCACCAATACAGCCTCACAGCAACGGAGGTCAGGGGGGCTCGAACCCATACCACGAACTTCGTACCGTGCCTCCCAACCATGCGCGCGGCAACCGCTGTCGCAGCAGCAGGCATCACCGCGCAGCAGGCACCAACGCGCCACACGTTTGTATCACACATCGTAAAATAAAACACTCCTATCCTCTCTTCCCCTTCCCCTATCCTAACTAACCCACAGTCCTGCAGTTCCTCTCCTGCTCCCCCTTTGACCCTTTGACTTCGTGGGGGTACGGCGTTAGACCTTCTACCCCCCCCCTCCTGTGCCAAGGACACCAACCCGGCTCCGACAGCTCTTTGATAAGACCCACATACTCCTGCACATTCCTGCCGCCGCGCGCTCACCTGTTCCCCATCCGCCTTGTCCGCCGGCGCCGCAGGAGCCTTACCACCGGCAGGTCCGGCGCCCCCCTTGGCGCCCCCCGCACCTCCGCCCTCCGCGGGCTTGGAGCCGCCCAGCGCCCGCAGCCGAGCCTTCTCCTGCGCTTGCCGCTGCAACTCAATCAGCGCGTTGCCCTTCCCCGCAACGCCCGCCATGTCGTCCTCCATGTTCACCGCCATCTCGGCCTCAGCCTTGCGCAGGCGTTTCAGACGGTCGAAGTCCGACTGAAGTTCGAGTGCGCACGTGGGGCGGATGCGTTCGCGAGAAAAAAAGGAGGGAGGGAAGGGAACGCGATTAAAATTTGGGATCTGTTCTGTCCTGACGATGCTGCTTCCCTATGGACGGGGAAGGTATTTTTAAGATGTTTGGTGTGGTGTGATGCAAAAAGGAGGATTGGGCCAGCTCCCGACAACATCCAAACCACCAACTGCCGGAGGAGCCCAAAGCGATGAGCCCAACTGCCCGACGAGACTACGGAAGCTGGTATGTGTGTGCGTGCGTGCGTGTGTGTGTGTGGTGGGGGGGGAGAGGGCAGTGGTGCCAGGACCCGTAGATCAAGTCAGCTAAATGAGCACCTAGGGTCAAGTGGGGTGTGGGGAAACGGCTGTGGTGCAAATGGTGCGTTGCGCGCTGGTTTGAACAACCCCGCAGTGTAAACATGTACCATTCATAAGTTTCAAAACTCTTAGGGTTGTTAACTTAGGGGGGAAAAACCCGTTTTGCTTGCGCCCTGGTCTATGGCAAGAACCTCTGCTGTGTGTGTGTGTGTGTGTGTGTGTGTTGGCATACGACGTGCAATGCGCCGTTAGCTGCATCTATCCATGCATCCACACGCTGCCGCGGTGTGGGAAGGCACTGTGCTAATAAGCCGCAAATGTGCACAACACGAAGGAGACAGAGCCATTCAACCGGTCCCCGCTTGCCATCCCACCCCACACCTCGCCTTTCCAAGGCCACAAGTACACAGCGAGTCGCCGCGCCGTGCAACAAAACGTCAATTGCCTTCATGGTTGACTAGCACAGAGCCCGCCCACGCATGGGCACGAATTGCAGTCCAGACTCTTCAGGGCGCGATGGGTAGAAGCAAAGCATGTCGCGGATGTCCCCTGACGGTGAGACACACACCCCGATCCATTACCTGCCCCATTCGCCAGTGGTTTGCCTGACCCCCTGATCCCCTTGTCCTACCCCCACAGGAAGCGCGGGTCGGGGGAGCCCTACACCATCTCCTGTGCCATCCTCGCCCTCAGCTCCAATTCCTGTCCTACTATCCCTGTCCTGCCCAAATCAATATTAAACGCGCGCCACGCCACACCGCGAGCGACGGCACAGCGACGTAGTAGCACCTGCACGCAGCGGCGCCTCTTTGCAGCGCCTCTATGCAGCGACTCACCTCAGCAAACAGGGTCGCAGGCTCCCCCAGGGCTCGCAACCGGCGGATGACTTCCTCCCTTGTGAGCACCGTGGGACTCTCAGGCTGTCCATCCGCGTGGTGGAGGCCAGGGCGGGGGGATCAGAGCGGGGCGGGGCGGGGTTAACTCACACCACACTCACACACACACGGAGATGCGCACCAGGGAGCACATGAAAGGGCTCCGGTTCGAACCCTACCGCTAGCGGACACCTTACCAAAGAGATAACAGACTGTGTGATCGATTAGTTGTTGGGATGCTGCTGCTGCTGCTGCCGCCTTGAAGATGAAGCATGCCGGGGCCCCGGCACTACTTTCCGCAACAATAATTGTTGCAGCGAAGCATAATACACACCGGGGAAAGTTGAACCAGTTGGTGCGGTGAGTGACGGGAAAAGTGGCATCACGCACATGAGTTACAGCAAACAACGCGGCGTGGGTAGTTAACAGTTACCGCAAAGGGGTGTTTTAAGATTTGTCTGAGCCGCGATACGGCAGCAGGCCGAAGTGGGTGCACGAATAACTGTACCGATGCGAGCTCCGTGCGCGCGCGCGCACGCGCGCGCGCGCGCGAGAATGTGTGTGTGTGTGTGTGTGTGTGTGTGTGTGTGTGAGAGAGAGAGAGAGAGAGAGAGAGAGACAGCGCTTGACTGATGCCCCGAACCCCGTCTTCACACTCACGGGTGCATCGTCGTGCTTAGGCGCCTTTGAGTTTTGGAGGTTGTCGTCGTTGAGCTGGAGCTTGCGCTTGCGCTCCTGAAGAATCAATGACAGCAGTAATGGTCGTCGCAGTATCAGCAGTATCAGCAGAAGCGTAGAGGATGTTTGGATTACCGGGATGCAGCTGCTGTGTTACTATGTGCACTCGGGAGACCCCGTGGGGATGTCGACGGCTCTTCCTATCAGGGTGGTGATTCCCTCTTTGCCCCCCATCCGCCCGCGGCGAGGCCGGACGCGGAGCGCCAGGCGGCACATGTGCAGGCGGCACGAGTGCATGCATGCATACATAGCACGGATTAACGGGTTACGCATGTCAGCCAGACCATGCAGAACGATGCGGGTTATAATAAGACGTCGATGAATACTGCCAGACGGGTACACGTGCACAGCCAAACTGAGAAAAGTCGTGTGGCGCTGCCCAAACGCTGCACGGCGCCATGGAGCTGAAGCGTCCATCATACGCCTGAAGGTGTTTCCCCAGAAACCCCACAACAAGTGCCGTTAAACAGGCCCCGTCCCACGGGCCCGCGCGCACCTTCTCTTCGCGCTCCTTTGCTTCCTCCTCACGAATTTTTTGCAGCCTCGCCTCTTCCAGCTGCGAGCGTTTTATATATTTATTTGGGCCGGCCACATCCTGAGCTTCCCTCTTGAGCTTGGATGTGAGGGCCTTTAAGGCGTCCATCGGCCCCCGAGCTTCGACCTAACCTTCCGGCTGAGCTGGAATCAATAGGTGCTGTCTTTCAAGTGCGTAACGTAAGGTCACTTCCTTAACAAGGGACTCTCCGCCGTTGGCAGGACTGCCCGCCAAGTAGATTAACGCACAGCAGAGTGAGAATTGAGATGGAACTGATATGTTGCAGGGTTTGAAATTATTAAACGCTAGTGTGGAGCAAGGTTACGCACCAACGGCACTACACAAGAATATAGTTCCGTTGCCGCGATAATGTACCTCGCCCATGTTGCTAACTGCATGGGCCTGTGTGATAGGGAAGGCCACGATGGAGCCTGTAACAAGCACAAGCAACAAAACCGCGGTAGGTCAGGCCCTTCCTGGAGCGTTTGGGAACATGTCCCTCTGAGACAGTCCACTAACTATCCAGGTTTCTTTCCGTTCCAATGATGCTATCATTCCTGACATTGCTGTGACATCTTTAGAGCGTACCATTAGCCATAGCTTAGCACCGGTCTGTCCTCGGCCGAAAATGGCCACCCCACCCACTTAGGTAGCACACGGCTTCGCATGCTGCGGCCTCCGGGAGTGTAGGGGCGGTGGGGTGCAGAGGCTAGGCAGGCGTAATAGCAGTGTGAGAGCTCAGCAACGATGTTGAAGAGCATGAAGCAGAAGTTCAGCGGAAAGAAGGACGCCAGCAAGAACAAGGACGACTCCCAGCCCTCGACCAGCGCCAAGGCGGGCATTCCCGCCTCTAGCAAGGCACCGGCTCCTCGCCCTGTCTCAGCTACTCGGGAGAAGCCGCCGCTCCCGGTCATCAACGAGCAGACGCTCTACCAGTACTATGCGGAACCCTTGCCCACCTTTCGGGATGTCTCCCCAGCGGAGAAGCAGTATCTCTTTGTGCAGAAGCTGCATTTGTGCAGCTTTGGGTTCGACTTCGCGGACCCTACCAAGCACGTCCGCGAGAAGGAAATCAAGCGGCAAACGCTTTTAGAGCTGGTGGACTATGCCAACTCTGGGGCAGGGAAATTTACGGAGGGCGTCTCGGAGGACATTATCTATATGCTCAGTAACAACCTTTTCAGGACGCTCCCACCCGTGCGGTCCCATGGCGACGCGGAGGGCAACTATGACGCAGAGGAGGAGGAGCCTAGCCTGGATCCGGCATGGCCGCACCTTCAGGTGTGTCTTGGATCTGCTTGGGCGCGGGCCGGGCGCAGGTTGGCCCAGCTGACCGGCTGCGAGCTCATGCCGCCCTGTCTATCACGCACGCGCCCTGCCCCCAGATCGTGTACGAGTTTCTCCTCCGCTACGTTGTGTCAAATGACACTGATGCGAAGATTGCGAAAAAGTACATTGACCAGCAGTTTGTGCTTAAGTTGCTGGAGCTCTTCGACTCGGAGGACCCCCGGGAACGCGACTACCTAAAAACGATCCTGCACCGCATATATGGCAAGTTCATGGTGCACCGGCCTTTCATCCGCAAGGCCATCAACAATGTCTTCTACCGCTTTATCTTTGAGACGGAGCGGCATAACGGAGTCGCTGAGTTGCTCGAAATTTTGGGCAGCATTATCAACGGCTTTGCGCTGCCGCTAAAGGAGGAGCATAAAGTAAGCCAATTTCTTTGAAATGAGAGCTATGAACTTAAAAACGCTGCACTTGGGCTGTCTTGGAATGATTCCGGCCAAAAAACGTTGTCCATCTGCGTGCGCAGCTGTTTCTGCAGCGGGCGCTGATGCCGTTGCACAAGCCCAAGTGCGTGGCCATGTACCACCAGCAGCTGGCGTATTGCGTGACACAGGTATGTTGCTGAAGCTCGGGCTGTAAGATGTGCGGAACCCGTGTCATGGGAATTGCTTGCCCCTTCCTTTTGCATGACCGCAGTTTGTCGAGAAAGACTCGAAGCTGGCAGAGCCGGTGCTCACGGCGCTCTTGAAGTACTGGCCTGTGACAAACAGTCAGAAGGAGGTGCTGTTCCTCGGGGAGCTGGAGGAGATATTGGAACTGACGCAGGCAGCTGAGTTCCAGAAGGTCATGATCCCACTTTTCAAACAGTTGGCAAAATGCTTAAACAGCCAGCACTTCCAGGTACGTGGCTTATTGGCGGTCTCCTAGCATATCCTCGACCGCTGGCATGCTGGTCTTGGTTTGGGCGTTGAGATGGGGGGGGGGGAAGGGATTTCAGGGAAGTCACAATCGTGAAATGAATGTGGCGGGGATACTGGGGGATTGCGCTTCCCACGTAATGAGCCCCATGGAGCTCTTTGGGCGTATGATGAGTGCGTTGCTGCCCTGACGTGGGCTTGAAGCTAGGGGCTAGGGGCGAATTTGCACATGAAGATGCGTTCAGGATGAGTAATGCCCGCCGTTGCGCCGCGCCTTCTTGACAGGTCGCGGAGCGCTCCTTGTTTCTATGGAACAACGAGTACATCGTGAACCTGGTGGCGCAGCATCGCCACCAGCTATTGCCAATCCTGTTCCCGGCACTGGAGGAGAACACGAACAGCCACTGGAACCCCGCGGTGCACGGGCTCACGTGCAATGTGCGCAAGATGTTCCAGGAGCTTGACGAGCAGTTGTACGAAGAGTGCAAACGCAAGTACGAGGAGGAGCAGGCGTCGGAACGGCAGGCTATGGAGAACCGGGACAGGAAATGGGAGTACCTCCAAAAGTTGGCGCTTCAGAAGAGCAATGGCCGGTAAGAAGGTTGTGAAGATAATTGGGATCCATCGAGGGGGTTGCTGATCAGTCAATGTGCCGAGCAGACATGATTTGCCTTTTCATGGACGGTCGTGTGAGGGACATAGGATTGTGAGGCGGGATGCGTTGGCGCTTTATGAGGCAAAACTGTTCCTGTGGGCTGTGGGAACTATGTAGCGAGGGGGTTGTTCCTAATGCGAGCCTTGCGAGCAGTGCGCCGTATATGGAGACCAAACAGCTGAACAAGCAAGCACCTGTTCAGTGTTTACCTAAGTTTTTGGGATTGTGCATTTGTTTTTTTGGCGCTTCAGAGGGTCAGTGTCAACTAAGTTTGTGTTGATGTATCTTGGTTGGTATTGCGTACATGGGTCAGTATCGCGACGCGACCTGTCAAGCGCGGGGCTCTGCGCCCCAAAGAACTGATGTGATGGCGACCTGTTGTTCCATGATCCTGTGCTTTGTCGCGCTACAGGCCGCTGCCGGAAGTCAAGCCGCTTTCGGCGCTACTCAGGGTTTGAGACAGGGTAGGGCAGCTTGCTGGCAAATATTGCAAGCGCAGCAGCAGCTTACGGCGGCGCACCTTGGGACGTTGTGGTTTGCCTGCAGCGCGGCCGTGCGCATTCAGTAACTGTCATAAACGCCTGTGAGCCGCGCGCGATTACCCGATGGTGCGCAATTCGCACACTGGGGACGCTCGGGTGCCGTGTCAGAGCCGTTTGGCTAGCTCCTGGTATTTACTCTTGGGGGTCGAGCTTGTTGTGAGGATGTAATGAATGGTGCAGTGCCTCGGAGACCCAGGTGGCTGGCCACGTGAGCCCGTAGGCCGCGTGTGCAAGTAGGTCGTTAGGGTTTGATGGTCCCCGCTGTGCAGGAGCTTTCATGGGCGTTTGGTGCGCTTTCCGTCTTGGAGTGCGGGTGTGTTGCGGCGTTGCTGTCTTCCCCGCATGGAGCTAGGTCACCATGCGTGTACAAATAAGGACTGAGTCGCGGCGTTTGAGCTGCAGTTACGGGTTTGTGCTTGAGGCGCTTGGACGGACGAGGCCACAGCGGCGAATAGTGATGGTGCAGTGTTAACGCTGTATGACAACCGTTTTTAGTCAGGGGCATGCGAGGTGCATTTCATGATGCACCGCATATCGGATTTTACACGACATGGGGACGGGTAGAGTAGGGTGCCGTTGAGTTTTAAGAGGATGCGCTGGGCCTGTGGATAATCACATGTCGCGAATGCGCGCTACCCATGGTGGGGGGAGTTGGTGCCCTATCTGTGTTCTGCCGCTGGTGTGACACTCCGCTGGTGGAAGGAAAGACTGAACCGTTGGCTGCATCTGACTTTTGGGTGTGTGTGGACCTGTCGAGCTTCCATCGCAGCGGCCTCTTGCCTGGGTCGGAAGGTTTTGCGCATCGCCGGTGAAGGGGCGCCGACACGCCTCTGCTCTATGCATGAGAAGCCCAGCTCTTTAGCTGCGCCATGTCACGATGTGCTGAGCGGGCTTCTAATTCAAATGCTCTTGTGCTTAACGGAAAGGTCTCCAGTCGTACAACGCAAATGAGCATTGTTGCAGCTGCAGCAGTGAGACCGATTACCATATGCCCATTGCAAATATGTATGCTGTATCGAGATCAAGGCAATTTAAAGTTCATACACGGTTGAAAACTTTGCGCCGTCACAACTGAAGCCGAGAGTCCAAGAACAACTCGTATTCTTTGTTTAGGACACGAACGATTAGAAGCAATCTTTATCCGGAAGGAATATTTAGCACGCTACAGGTGTTACGAGCCCAAGTAAACAACTGAAATGAGGCCGCCGCTGCGAGGCGGCCGGGGACGTGACTCAGGAGGCCGAGGTAGCTTCGGCCGTGGTGGTGGTGGCCGTGGCTTTGGTGGTCGCGGAGGCGGTAGGGGCGGCTATGCCGACGCGGGGCCGCCGGAGTCTGTCATCGAGGCGGGCGCCTTCGCTCACGCATGCGAAGGCGAAGCAGTCGTAAAGCTAACAAATGAGAAGGTAATCACATGGCATGTCGCCATTTCTGCAGATGCTGGTGTGGGGCAGCAGACGGAAGTATATATCTGTCATGCAGATTCCCTATTTCAACGCACCTATCTTCTTGGAGAATAAGACGCAAATTGGCAAAGTCGAGGAGATCCTTGGTCCCATTAATAACGTGGTAAGCAGACCTAAACATTTAGCAAACACCCCGTCGTTACCCCGGGAAGGCAACACATACAGTTGCGGTAGCCGATTTTCCACGACAGGGGCAATTCGTGGTGCCTTGGGTTCTCCGTTGCATGCTGAGCGCAACGACGAACATGCTCGTTGTTCGTGCTGAATTCCCCAGCCAACCCCATGTACGACACTCTTTGCCATTATCGCTCGCTCCTCCGTCGCCGCATCTAGTTCGCCTGACCCGCGTTACCCAACGTGCCTGCCTTCGTAACCGCCATAGCTGCGACGAGGCGTCGTATTGTGTGCGAATTGGGAGTATTCGCCCTGCTTGCATCATGAGTGCTTACGTGCCTTGAATTTGTTTTTTATAAGGATCTGTTGCGGCTCCAACGACGCAGTTCTTCACCATCAAGATGGCTGAAGGTGTAGTTGCAACATCGTACAAGGCAGGCGACAAATTCTACATTGACCCTATGAAGCTCCTGCCCCTGGAGCGTTTCCTGCCCAGGCCAAAGGGCGCATCTACCCCTGGAGGGGGACGTGGCGGTGAGCACCTCTATTCGTGCTTGCGTTTGCGCTTACGTTGCGCTGCGTTGTGGTGTGCTCCGCCGTGCTGTGTCTCTCCGTGCTGCAGACGCCCTCGGCTGGGGCCGCCTCCCTATAGGCTCCTAGTTTTTTGGGGACACTCTTAAATACATTATAAAGGGAGCTTAAGTGTGTTGTGTAACATAAAGTAAAAGCAAGAGCAACGTTGAAGCGTGTTATGTTCTCGTCACATGAGCACATCTGCCCACCTCAGCATTGCACCCGGGGCTTCCTTATCCAACCCTCACGCTGTATAGTTCACACCGGTTGTGCCTGCAGGGGGCCGTGGCGGTGGCCGTGGTGGCCGCGACGGCGGGCGGGGTTTTGGTGGGCGGGGCGGCCGCGACGGCGGCGGCCGGGGCGGCTTTGGCGGCCGCGGCGGTGGCTTTGGCGGCCGCGGCGGCGGCTTTGGCGGTCGGGGCGGTGGTGGTTTCGGAGGCCGCGGCGGCGGTGGTTTCGGAGGCAGGGGCCGGGGCCGGGGTTAATCGCACAGCCCCTTCACATCGCGTGGGTTTCAGCAGCGGATGAGTGCCCGGTGCCCAGCGCGGTTCGTGTGCTAGTGCCACCCATCCCTGAGTGATATCCCCCTTCATCTAGGGGAACGTCCCCCCTTCTCAACACGCACGCAGAGGGCGATAATGTGTATGTATACACCATCTTCCTTATTCCCCCGGCAAGGGCCGCACGCATGCATGCAGCTGCTCGCAGTGGTTAGCCTCTTTGCAATCGCTGGCTGGCTGGCTGGCTTGTTGAGGAGAAACGTAACCCAACCATGGCCTGTGATTTCCCCGCCTCCAACGGTGCCCATTTAAGGTCGTGTTTTACTGGCGTGTGTTGGGCTTTGATCCTGGCGATGAAGGTTGTGAGGGGGTAGCCCGGCCGCTCGAGTCTTGAGTGTCAGCAAGAGGAGCCCACTCAAGGGGGTGGGAATGGCGGTTGGGAGGAGGCAGCAGCATGGTAGGGGAGGGCGTCGCCCCGGGGAAGGAGGTGAGACACCGAATTTTTCTGGGAGCCGTACATGTCATTAATTATGTGAAGATATTTCCACGGCTTGGGTTGGGAGCTGGGGCGGTGACGGCGGCACAGCAGCGGCAGTTGGAGTGCGGGGACGATGGGGGATAAAAGAGAAAGTAAAGTCCGGGGCGGGATATGCCGCGAGGGAAAGGAACTCCGGCGCAGATTTAGGTTGCGGCTGGTGAAGGGAGTGGCTGTGGGGAGGTTCTTCGTGGGGGCGTTTCTCGCCGAACGCTGGTGCGCTATCGCTCATCACTGTATGAGAGATAAAGCAGGACTCTTTGGGATGGTGGTGATGAAGACGATTGACGGTGATGACCGAAAACGATATTGTAACAGGAGGGCGAAATTGAGCACCACGATTATCTTTTATGTATTTTTAGATGTTCTAGTCAGCGCGCGGGAGGCAATCCTTTCCTGCGCTTTCTTTCGGCAGATGCCAACCGAGAACCAACCGAGACATACAGACGTGAGTATGATGGGGTGAGGAAGGGGATGGGACGGCCCGCATTTTTCTTAGTCACCTCACCGACCTGGTGGCGAGGCGCTCGGATATTTGCCTGGCCTGCAGAACACGACGATGCGCGTGATGTGGTGGAGCTGTCTCACGTCGGAAGAGTGTCAAGTAGCCTCCACTGCTCTTGCTCGTACAGACATTACTGAGCTCCTGTTCTCGCTCACGTAAGACCTAGCTAGGGGATCCCAGGTAAGCAAAATGCAATTGCGTGTGCAAGTTGTGCTGAGCCGAAGGGGGGGGGGAGGAGACAGGGCAGCTGCTAGTGGCCATTAAACTGTAGAATCCCCCACCATGACGAAGCCGCGTGGTCCAAGGTCCAAAGCCCCCGGACAGTTCGTCATCTTCTTAAGCCACTTCCTTCGCGATGCTGGACTAAAGACATTGTCATCTTCTTGCCGTTGAAGCAAGCAGTGGTCATCAGTGCTCAATTCTACGATAAGTCTCCGGCCGCTGTAGGAGGCTTCCTGCACGGCCAGAGCTGCAGTTCAGCAGCCTCATCGGTATCCACTTCCGTCGTATCCGTACCCGCACTCAGCTCACGACTCCCTGCCTCCCCCTCATCCTGATGAAAAGCCCCCACACGCCACAAGTCTTTTGAAGCGTCCCTCCTCTCCTTCTTCGGGTCTCCAGCCACCATCAAGTCGTCACCTCCAGCGAACTGGCTGAAGCAAAAGATGCTTGGTGTCACGCCACAATACCAAAGAACCGCAACCAGAGGGAAAAGCGAAAAGAGAGAGACAAGAGGTAACATGCAAACACATACATATACACACACAGACACACACACACCGTGTTTACTCGGTGGTGAAGCATTGAGCGCATTCCCTACATCTCACGCCCCTGAGTCACAACCACACTTTCCGAGTGCTCTCAATTAACAGTGCAGCATACACACCGTCGGCAGTACACTCCAAAGTATGGAAAAGGGACACGCACGAACACAGCTCTTGGCCTATACACACTCTCTCTCTACCCCCCGGGCTGGTCCGGCCCCCCGGCTGGCCCCCTCTCTCCGCCGTCGACATGAACGCGCAGAGAATCACGGATTAGAGCAACGAGCGAAATTAATCCAAGCCCGTCAAAAATATGGATACCTAGCAAAAAGTAGGAAGTACTATCGGTACGCGAGGTGACCGCCGACGGTACACATAGCCCTGTTGGCAGACGCATGCACCCACCAACCCTCACCACCACCAACAGACGCAACGCGGAGATGCCGCGTGCATTCCAATTCCAAACTTGAAGGCGTTTTCTCCCACGCGCGCAAACATACGCGTGTTCGTACCTCCCACCACAGACGCGCAGACGGCGCAGTCTGACGCGATCTCCTCCATGCCTTGGTGTGGAAACACGTTCCACTTGCAAAACCGTGTTGGTCGCCTTCTGTCCCCTTTGAGCCCCTCTTCACAGCCTCGCAGCTGGGGACGACCGCTATGTTAAGGAAGCGCTCGCCGGAAACAAAACCGCCATCGCACCGCACATCACACATTTTCTCACCACATCACACATGCAAGGGGGCCCCCCACCATCACACTGGGTGCGTGCGATCGCCACCACCATCACCGCAATGTTCTCCTGTATTGCGCTGCTCTCGTGCTCTTCTTTACTATGCTGTAAAGGCATCAATGATCCCAAAACCCCTGCTAAGAGCAGCATGAACCCCGCAACCCATCGAGAATGCCCAGCACCACATCTCCCCCTCTTCTCTTTCTCTGTCTGTTTCGCATCGAGCGGAGGATGCCCCCACATAATGCATGCATACATACATACTTACATACATAGAAGGTCCCCTTTTAAGACAAGGACCCAATCACACATACACACGCATCATCTCATCATAAAGTTCTCTCGTGCACCCACCCATTTATTCAGAGTACTCAAGCCCCCCTCACCTCTCGCCTAATCGGAGAATGCGTGGTGCACATTTCCCGCGCCATGAGAAGCGAGGACAAAGCAACAGATTACCAACATGACGACTAAGGTAATGGTGATCGTAACATCGTGAATCTCGTAAAATTGTGAAATAATGATGATGATGATGATAATAAGACGCGTATGCCAGAAAGTAAAAGGCGCGCGGGCGCACGCACCTCACGGCGCACTGGTTCCCTCCCACTCGCAATATAGCCGCCGCGCCGCGCGCCTGCTCTTACCGCACGTGGCGTCCTCTGTTCCAATGCCGCCCCTAGCCCCTCCCTCGCATATATCCTCTCGCCCCCCTGCGGTGGGGCGCGGTGCAGTGCGGCCAGTGAGGCCTCTAACTGGCAGCTGTCAACCGCCAGATGCCCGGAATCATAACCGTCAAGAGTATTGACGTGCACTGCCCCAAAAGCCGCCCCCAACCGCTCCGAAACACGTACTCCTGCCCGTTATCATCCACTCCTTGAGACACACACACACATACACATGCGCAACCCCATACACCCGGACCTGATTGTACGGCAAGACGGCCTATTATCCAATAAACAACGTAACCGGAACAGCACCGCATCGCACGAGACACATACATACACACAAACAGATATGGGCGTGCGTGTCTTTGGTTAAAACAGGTACGTTCCTCCTCTTCAAACTACTCGGTCATTCGCACACGCGTCCACTAGCACTTCCGGCGTTCGGCACTTATTGGTGATGTGTGTGTATGTATGTTATGTATGTCCTTCCTTAAGCAGGTGTCAGAGCTGACATGCTGATCATCTCCCTTTTTCTACATGTATGCACCGTAGGCGCCGTAGTTGCATGCAATATATACGGCATCTGCTTGGCACGAGGTCAGGGCTCCATCAGCACCATCTCACGTGCAGCCGAGCGAACGACAGTCAACCGACCAACCCCAACGAACGACAAAAGCCCAACAAACAATCTTCGCCTGTCAGCTAGTAGCTGCTTCCCTCAGCATCACCAGATCCACCCAATCGACATGTGACGCCAGTTTCTACTTTGCGTTTGCACTCCTACCCCCACCCCCTTCGCTCCGTCTACCTCTGGTATCTGCTCTTTTCATTGGCCAGTGGTTCGTCTCAACCCGCCTAGCTCCTCCCGCCGCTGCTACCCGGGCTATGCTATCTCTGAGAGGAGGGCTGCCCTCAGCTCGAAGGTAGGTGGGTGCGGGCCACACGGGGTGGCGCTTCCGAACATAGTAGACTCGGCGTGACACTGGTACATCTCCGTACTCCGTACACACAGACGAACATACACATTCAAACATGCACACACGCACATGTTTCTTCTACTAGCACAAACAAACAAACAATTCGCGCGACTGTCCTCCACACACCCCACCCCCTCACCGCGCATCCACAAACTGCAGCGGGCCGCACCACCGCAAGGCATCGCAAAAACCCGCTCACTACTTTTGAAACGAGAGCAGGTCTCGCGCGCGATCCATGAAGGACGTCTTCCCCGCCCCATCCGCATCATCGCTCTGCGTGTCACCCTCCTCAAAGACCACCTTTTCAAACATGCCGAAGAACTGGCGCAACGTGACCTTGACCTCCTCGCCAGGCTCGCAGTGCCCCACGCTCATCAACACGGCCGCCTGCATCTCATTGACGGGCATACCGAGCCGCTCCATGGCGTCCATCAGTGCTGGCATATCGATCCAACCTGCACGCGCGCGCGCGTGTGTATAGGTTGTGTACAGGTTGTGTGTATAGAGGATGTGTGTGTGTAGATTATGTTTTGGGTTTTGGGTGTAGGGTGTGAGTGTGTGTGTAGGGTGTATGTGTGTAGGGTATGACTGCAGGAAAATATGCGCCCCGCAGTACACAGCACACGCACGAAAAGATCAACAGCTATGATGTCCAAAGCACTGACTGTCAGCGTCCCAAGCCATGAGACAGACAAGACCCCCAGTACCAAAAATGTAAACCTTGTCGGGCGCGCGGGTGCGCGGGGATTTCGTGAGGTAGACACCCCACGCGGTAGTATTTGTGGAGAAACCCCAATAAAACCCCAATCCACCCACCTAGCTGTTTGGTATCGAAGAACGCATAAACCATGAACTTGACGAACTCGTCAAAGCCTATGCTGTGCGAGTTGTCAATGTCGATCTCCCACAACATGGCCTCCACATCGCCCGCCGTGGCGTACGTGCCCAGGCTGCGAATCATGTTGGCGAGCTCCCCGAACGACAGGGCGCCCGAGCCGTCCTCGTCCAGCTCGTCAAAGGCGGCCTTGAACTCGGGGACATCCGCTGCGACCGTCACCATCAATCAGGATGAGAGGCTGTGTGTATGTGTGTGTGTGTGTTAAAGTGCGTGTGCTTAGGAGTGCATGTGTGGTGTTAAGGTGTGTGTGCTTAAGCGTGAGTGTATAGATTTGCAGCATCTAGAATGATTGGTGGCTGCTTTCTCAAAGTCCCCGGACGACCCCCGACCACGTCCCAAGCCCGCACGGCCAAGGGCCCCCCCCTCACATTTTATCATGTACGACGCCGTAAGCTCGCCGTACCAGGCAATGTCGTGCCAAACCATCATGAACTCCTTGTACATGGGCTTGAGCGTCACCTGCGTCACAGTGCCGTGTTGGTATCCGGGAACCAGAAAGGGCCGACGGAACAAGCAGTGAAACCGACATTGTGATCTTTCATTCGTGGCCCGTGATTTGAGGCCCGTAAAGAATGTAAATTATAATTCAAGGGCTACAACAACAACAACAACAACAACAGCGTCCCGGTTGGCATGAGTGCGTGAGTGAGGCGCGCGCGGAGGAGCAGACGGACGTAGAGCCGCGCTCCTGCCCCTGCGCTGTGTTTCGGCCCGGTCAGGGCCCCCGGTGCTCTCGGTCCTTTCTCGGGGCGAGCCGCCCACAGTGTAACACCCCATCAACAACGGACCAGCAGGGGTCCCCTTCATCGTCGTGTAAAAGGCACGATACATATACTCAAGGAATACAAGAAAAAAAATAAAAAAACACCCGTACGGCAGGGCGTCCATGAGAGGCGGTACCGGCAGGCGTACGAATGAGCCACCCTACCTCCCCCTTCCCACATCTTCTCCACCTCCTCCCCTCCACACTATCACCACTACTATCACTTCTATGACCACCATTACCACCAATACTGCCGCTAAGCAACAATAGCAGCAGCAACAGGAGCAGCACCGAACAGCAGTTAATTACCTTGTTGATGTGTTTCTGCGCCTTGTAGTCTCGGCCCAGGATGATTCCCGCCTGACTGGCCAGGTTCACAATGAAGGCGGTGGACAGCCTGGTCTCGCCGTCATGCCGCCCGATGAAGTAGTCCGTCATCTTCTCCAACACGATACTGCAGCGGGGGCACAGGAATGGAGTAGAAGGGAACAACAATAACAATAACAACAACCACAGCAGCAGTAGCAGTAGCAGCAGTAGCAATAGCAGCAGCAATAGTAGCACTCACGCTGAAATGCCCTCCTCCACTTTGTCCGCCGTCTTGCTGCGCTTGATCTCGTGCATAACCTCGTGCGGCTCCAGAATGCCACACACCGACAGCAGCGCATATTGCGGAAGAAACACCCAGCAGCCGTAAAACACCAACAGCAGGTTCGTCAAAACCACAGGTAACCAGATGTACATTGGCATCGCGACGTCGCGAATGTAATCAAACTTGTCGTACGGGATGACGAATGCCATCGACATGGTCATGATCAAGGAGGCCTGTGCAAAGATGATGTTGAAGAGCCACAAGAGGAGGAAAGGCCGGCCGAAGAAGAACAGGCGCGTGATCTTCTCCTCGATGCCAGATGCCAGCTCGTGCTCCAGGATAGACTTCTCGCTATGCACGTCCTCCTCGTCGTCCTCGTGACCCTGGGCGTCCTTCTTGCCGCCACGCCCATGGCCGTGGGGGGCCCCCTTGCGCGTTCGGTGCTCGTCACTGCTGCTGTGGCTGCCCGAGCCGCTGCCCGAGCCCGCAGATGCTGCATCGTCGGCCTCGTCCGGCGCCCCGGAGGAGGGGTTTGAGCCCCATTGGCCATTATCAGCTGCTGCCGGCGGCGTTGGCGTCGGCGTCGGTGGCGGCGCCGGAGCCGCCGCCGCCACGGCGGCAGCAGAGCCGCCGTAAGGCGACGCGGCTGTTGCCGCGATCAAGTTCGCCGCACCAAACGCGTGCGCTGCCGCCGTCGCATCCACCTGTATGCCGTATGATGGCGACACAAGGGCTGACGACGACGGCCCCGACGCGGCGCAGACGCCCGGCCCGGGCACCGCAACCCCGTTTCCGTACCATTGGGGTGGCATCCCCAGTTGTAAGGCGTAGCCCAGGGACGGCACCCCTAGCAACGATCCCTGGCCGAGCCCGCCGTCGCCGCCGTTGTTCATGCCGTACAGCGGGTTGTTGCTCATCATGCCCTCTCCCACTGGGCCGGGACCCGGGCAACGATCGGAACTTCCTCGCCCCACGACGCGCTTCCGACAGCCCGCTGCTCCAGGTCTGTTGCTGCTGCTGCCGCTGCCGCCGTCGCCGCGACTGGCGTCCTCAGCTTCGCCTGCGGCGGCCGAGCCGCCGCCGCCGCCGCCGCCGCTGCTGCCGCCGCCACCAAGCAACCTTGGCGGGCAGGTAAGCTGCGGTCGACCCGACCAGGGTAACGCCGTGGTCGCTGCCGCCGCCGCCACTGTTGCCGTACTCTGTGCGACACCACGACGTGCCGACGCCGGCGCCGCGCTTCCGCCGCCCTCCCCCCTACAGGACGCGTGCTGCCACCACGGAGTACGGTCGTAATACCTACTGGCAGTGCGGCTGCTGCTGCTACAGCTATGGCTGTATCTGCGGACGCCGCCGCTTGCCTCCGGGGCCGCCGCGGTGCGCTTCTCCCTGCATACCTCCAAGAGGCCCAGCAGCCCACTACCACCACCGCCACCGCCATCGCCCCGCAGCGGCGCCGGACAGCGGCCAGGGGCACCGGCCGCCAGGCTCCAGCAAGCGCGGCCGCCGGTATGGCAACTCTCCCACCACTCTCCGCCCCCGCCAGCCGCAGCGGCCGCCGCCACGTCGCAGCTACCGGTCGCCGGCCCGGCCGCAAGGAGGACGTCCGAGGAGGTCTTGCTGTCTTGACGGCCTTCCTCCAGAGACTCCCCTAGCGGCCCGGGGCGGCCGGGAACCCCAGGACGCGTTGTCGGGGCTTCGAAGCGCAGCTGCTTGGCGGGGCGCTTCACAGACGTCAGGTGCCCAAGCTGCGTGAGCTCCAGGCCTGTGTTGTGCTTAACTGCTGCTGTCGTCGCCGTCGTTGTTATTGCCGTTGTGGAATTTTATGTTGGTAATAACAATAACAATGTCGCCATGTCAACACGCAGGCAGGCAGGCAGGCAGGCAAGGCATGAGGTCATTCAGAGAGACACATGGGTTGCGGTCGCTACGTCAGGCAGCCGCTGGTGGGCGCCAGCAGCCACCGCACCGCAGCCGAGGAGTGCAGGCGCAAGCGGCGCAACCAGGTTCCAAGTTGCCACAGTCCTGATGAAGCCCATCGGGCTCTCCCCCACAACTCCCCTTCCTAGCACCAGGCCCTACAGCACCAGGCCCTACAGCACATGCGGCGTTTGGTGCAAACGTGCACAAACCATCGTCCGTTTAATATACCGACGCACACACACACACGCGCGCGAAACGCGAGATGTTTCCGTCGACGTCGCCCTGTTTCCCACCTAGCACCCAGCACCCAGCACCGAGCACTTACCGTGGAACGCCAGGTGCTGCTGGTCCATCCGCTGTGGGGCGGCCACATCCCCGCCGACCTCCAAGTCGGGCCCCATCCCGCCGGAACCCCCTGCCTGCCGCTGCTGCCGCTGCTGCTGGAGGTGTAGCTGCTGCTGCTGCTGCTGCAGCAGCAACAGCTGCTGGTGATGCTGATGCATCAGTGCCGCATGCGATGCTAGTGTGCCGACTGCAGCTTCGCCTCCGCCGCCAGCCTTCCCCTCCGGCGCCGCTGCCTGTTCCTCGCTGGACTGTTCCTCGCCGTCGTCGTCCCGCTCCAAGCCACCCATTCCCTGGACTTTGCGCCAGAGATTCCTCGCCTCCCGCGCCGTCTTCTTCATGACCCAGCGCATGTTGCCCGCCATGAGCGCCATCATGGCCGCACACACAAAGGAAATCCAAACCATCTGGTACAGCCGCCGGTTGTACAGCAGCAGCAGGGCCATCATGAACACCAGCAACCAGGCGTGGCTATACACCTGGCGTGGGGGACGAGAGAGGCGGGGAGACGCATAAAGAAAGGAAGGAAGAAAGAGGGAATCTTCTTCAAGTGAATATCAGCTGCCGAGCTATAGGCCCCTCCCCCTTAGGATCCCCCCCGGCGATTGTGTGGCCTGCCGTACCTCTGCCGTACCCCGTTTCCCCCCTCAGACCCACCCATCCACCCACCTCATTCAGCTCCGCCTCTAGACATTGCTCACACATGTTGAGGAAATTGAAGTTGCGCAGCACCACCGAATGCGCCCGGAAGCGCTTTTCGCACATGAACCGCAGCAGCGAGTACAGGTCCTGGTCCACGTAGCCGATGATGTCACGCCAGGTCTCCCGCACGCGCATGGAGGGGCGATACGTGGCGGGGTCGTTGGCGCGGTCGATGACGGAGGAAATCCTGTGGGGGGGGGCCATAGCGGGGTTGGTCTTGGCGGTGACGGTGAGGGGAGTAGGGCGGTGGAGTGGGGGTTGGGGATGCATGCCGAAGTTCCCGCGAGAGCGTCTTGCGGCCGCAAAGGGCTCTCTCTCGAAGCGCAATCTGCCGCCCAGCCCTCCCCGCCCTCCGCGGCACCTTCGCGGGAAACCCAAGGGGGAACACAGCAGCACATACATACAGACATATACGCAGACACACCCAGACACAAAGGTGAGCACACCCACACACGCACGCACGCACCTGAGAAAGGCCACCGCCGGGATGTTCTGTTCCTTACGTGCGGTGCGCTCCAGAGCGCTCCATTTGGCCAGCTGCCAGGAGATATAGGGAGCCGTGCGGGGGAGGGGGCCGGCCGGACATATATGCAAGGAAACAAGGAACAACGGGGGGGAGGGGGAAAGCGGGGAGTCGCATGCAAGCCGGGTAGAAACACACAGTGGAAGCAGTAGTGGGCCAAGGCATTCATGGCATTCAGCCGACGTCCCTTTAGGGGACACATGAAACTGTGGCGCATCATCTCCTTCCTTCCCTGGGGGGCCCCCTTCCCTCCCTACCCTACCCTGCCCTTCACTCCCCCTCCAGCCGCCCTGCCCGACGTCCAGTTCCCCCCACTCTCGCGATGGGCGTCCGACAGGTTTCCCTTACACCTCCAACCCTTCCATACACTCCGCCCCCAACGAAGCGCCTTGGTTATATCGTTTCACGCAGTTACGTCCTTGCCCCAAACTCCCATTAGGACAGTTTATGAAAAAAAGTTTACGGCAACGTTATTTCCTTGGCTTTGGTGCATCTATATTTCCCCACTCGTCCCACCCTTCCTTCCGTACGCACAACCCCCTATCCCACCCCCACCTTGACATTCGTAATGACGCTGGTTAGCAAGCTGAACAGGATGTGCACGATGGCCAGATAGAAGAGAAGGTAGTGCGCCGCGTGGATGACAGTTTTGGGAAAGACCTGGCGGTACCCGGCGTCGCAGTAGTACGTGCCGTACTCCGGTGGCGGCGACGGCGGGTAGCTGGGGGAGCCTCCGTCCGCCGAGGATTTCCCCTTGCCGGAAGGCATACAGATCTTTTGTAGTGAGGGCTGCAAGGGGCAAGGGAGAGAGGGGGAAGAGGGGATCCGTCGTTGCGTACGAAAGTAGCGGGGTGTGGATGCGTATGTATGTATGTATGTATGTATGTATGTATGTATGTATGTATGTATGTATGTATGTATGTGTGTGTCCCAGCGGCAAAAAGGGGCGAGGCCTCAATGGGGTTAAGGGGGGTGAGATATAACACTGCAGGGAGGACAGGTATGCGGGGAGGGCTGAAAACAGCATGCTTGTGAAACGCATGGTCTGGGAGATAGGGGGAGCCGAGTGAAGAAGCCCAGCGGGGAAAGGAAGGGGGAGGAGGAGAGGGGGTGAAGGAGCGCGAGAGAGGTTCAATGAATAAGGAATACAGAGCTTTGAAATTGCAAAGTTACTTTTGAGAAAGCAGGCAGTTGACAAAAAGCGGAGAGGAAGTCCTTGTGAACCTGGAACGGTCTAACCTCCATGAATAGAAGCACAAGCGACACGACGCCCAACGCGAGAAGTTCGTCTTTCACACGTGCAAGCCAGTTCGCCTTTCTTCCTCTCAGGATGTTGTTAAGAAAGGTAAGGAAGCCCTACAGATAGGTTTCCAAGGTAGCTTGCGTTAGCGGACGAACCTGCAACGTTTTTTCGATGTACTGTGCAGAGACCGCGTTAATCTTACCACCATAAAGTCCCAAAAAAGAGTGATGAAGAGGAACACAAGGAAAAGGGCCGTAAGCTCCCATCTGCACACGCCGTGCAAAGTTACGCTCCCAACCACTGGGGCCAAAGCCAAGCCACGTCCAGCATATTACCTACCCCTGCATTGCTGCAGAAGCCGCCATGGTGACTAGATTGGTGCGCGGCTGTCACCCCCTGAAGGCTCCTCTTCACGTACTCCGAGCCTAATCGCACTTGCAAGTTAATTCCAAAACTGCTGCCGAAAGTCTGATGCCATACTGTCAGCATGCTATCGCTAGCCTATAGAAGCCTTACTGGCCCAGGCATGCTCTCCTCATTGTTTTTACGAAGATGGTTTCCCGACCCATGCTTAAAAATGTAAGGAGATCATAAATGCATATTGAATGGGTAACTTAACTTGCCTTCGGGTTGGCAGGCGACTTTGTAAGTTTAAGGTTGACCCACAAACGCTTGCAAAATCTTCACTGTTCCTAAAATGTTACAAATTTGCTAACAGAGTGCAAGAAGATGCACTGTCGGCGCTTGCGGAGAAAGACGTATTGTTTATTGTACTGCAACCTGGCTCGAGGAAGTTCGAGGACTCGTCCTGCATCAGCGTTTTTTTCTTGAGGGACTTTTTCTTCATCTTAATAAACGATATGATACGTTTTACGGGCACCAATATTGAAATCGACGGAAAACCGTCCTGTCCGACTGGGCGACTAGCTAGACCCGCCCGTCGCCGACTACACGAGTCTAGACACGGTCTGGCCTTGTAGAGTCGAGGGGCTGATAATCCAAAGCCCGCATATGCGCAAGATCGTCATCGATGATAACTATGATGGTGATACATGCTCACCTGCGCTCTTAAGGCCCAGACGAGCCAGGAGGGTCATGGCGTCACTGCAACGAAACAGCCCCCTCAGCATCTTGTACGGCAGCGTCAAAAAGCTGCTTCATCGAATCGCCTGCGTTTCCGCCTTGCCTTAGACGGTTTTCCTGCCTCCCCATGCATCGGGTGCAGCGTGAACGAGGGATCGCAGTTGCGGTTTCCCCGTGTGGAGCACGGATGACGAAAGGAGATCATCAACACCTTCAACACCATTTCGGAAATTGTACCGTGGCGGTATCCCTGAAGAAGGCCGTTGAAGGTAGATCTCCGTGCTGATTTTATGCATACATACTTAACTTTTGGTTGGCATCCCAACCTCTGACGATCCATAATTTGCTGTGGGATATTGCCTGCCTGGCGGCCGCAAGTGCTTTGAACTTGGCTCATAGAATGCTATATTAGGCTGGTTCGGTTCTATCTTACCTTATAGCTTCCATTCAATGTAGACTTGCTAGCGCTGTGGATTTCTGGGCACGGCTTACTGCGTTCGCAGCGAGAAGTCAGGCTGGGGTTCCATGCCGTCCCAACCAACCTCATCCCTCTTTGACAGGTGTGACAATTTGCCATTTTCCATTTGCATGGAACCGACAACCAGCAATTTTTTAAGACGTTTTTTTCCTTTTCTGACCTCAACACTGTGAGTACTAGCTGAGCTACGACGATGCCTGGCTGTGTAATATGTCCCACAGCAGTGTTGAGCGGATGGCGTCCTTGGCGTCACTCCTACTGCAAAGTCCGCTGCATAGATAGACGAGCAAGCCATGGCCCTCGCATATACATGTACTGCGCTTGTCTGAAATCGCCTTGGTCGCCTCAGAAGTGCCCCAGAAGTTAGCTAACACACGCCTCAGCCCAAACTTTTATCAGCACTCTAGCGCCTTCAAGAGCAGTATCCGCAGCCTCAGCTGGTTGTTTTTGGCGTCTCTAAGCCGCAAGAGAAGAAATCTAGGCAAATCGATTGTGTCAAAAAAGAAAAACGCGTAACAAGAAAGCTCGCTTGGTCATTAATTGCAGCCATCGTAGTTGTTAACATCCCCACTCATATCCGATACAGCTACTGTACTGTCACCCACATCCCACATCGCACATTCATTCCCACACCTTCATCTTTCCAGCCACACCCCACGACCACTAAAACCACAACCGCAAAGCAATCTACTCAGCACAACCATGCACAAGAGATGCTTCCGCGGAAAGTTTACAATTACATTCGGTCGTTCGGCGCCAACTGGAGATAAAAAAACATCATCCAAGGCCTAAAGCCACCGTCCACTTCCCCCTTCCGAAGCTCCTTCCCCCTAATCCCCACCATCTCCAGCCTCATACTCGTCGTCAACTCCCCCCGAACCCGCGCCAGCAAAGCCCCGCGCCAGCCCCGCCAGCGTGCACAGCAGCGGCGCTACTTCCCTTGGAGCCATCCCGAGGGGGAACACGCCGTTCCCCGCGGACGCTGATGACTGGCACTTGCGACGGGGCGGGACACCCGCCAGCATACGCGCCAAAAGATGTCCGGGCTCATCGCATCCACCTGCCTCGAACACGAGCTCACGGACTCCAGCCCAGGGCGGAGGCCCCGGAGGCGCCATCACCGCCTCCGTCGCGTCCGCCGGGGCAGGTCGGAATGGGTGGGGAGCTTGGCGCAACGCGCTCGCCGCCAGGAGGCCGATGAGGTATGTGTGGAAGGTGGCCTGGTGGTGTGCCAGTGGGGGAAGCATCGCCAGCTGCATTTGCACAAGAGGGAAGAAAGGTAATGGCGCAGGGAAGAGGTGAATCTAAAAACCCTAAGTCAAGTCGTGGTGTGCGGGACCCTCGGCACGTGCGCGCAGTGCCCAGGGAAGCCCTTTCAACCAGTGCCCCGTCCTTCTAGCTTTCCGCTACCCATAGTCCAAACCAATGTCACTGGCATACATACATACATACATACATACATACATACATACATACATACATACATACATACATACATACATACATACATACATACATACATACATACATAGCCTACACGTCCACACACGTCTGGAGCAACTTTCTTAGAGCCGCGTTAGCTACACACGTTAGCTGGAGTTTAGGGGATAAGGGGATAGGGTGTCGAGGCGCGGAGGGGGGTTTTGAGGTGGTGGGGGTGGTAGGGAGGTCGAGAGGGAGGTTGAGGGGATAGGTTGCGAGGGGGGCGGGATCAGGGATGGGGCTTGGGGGGGTGCCGCGCAAGGGGACATGGGGGAGGGAGGGTTTATTTGCCTGGGGGAGCCGTACCGGCGGAGGGGGGGGAGACCGGGGAAAGGGCGGGGAGAGCCGGGGGGGGAGGGGAAGAGGTAGAGAGTACACCAAGAGGATGTAGGGTTGAGGAGTGGTGAGTGGAAACAGGTGGCCGTAGCGAGGGCGCGGATGAGGGGGAGGTGGGCACCCAGAAGGGGGGGCCGTACTCGAAGGTGCGCGCGTGGTGCAGGACTAGGTTCTTCAGGGTACGAGACCGGGTTTTTCGTGGTGCGGCGTCTAGGTGAGATAGGATCTTGGGAACCAGCCGTCTTGGTAGAGCGGTATTGGGGGGGCGCCGAGCTGGCTACCCTCCCCCCCTGTGGTTTCCGGAGGCTTGATCGCCCTGCGTTGCCGCAGGGTCTTCCCGTTTGAGTACTTTTCAATTTAGACCCAGTGCTGTGGAAGGGCGCGGACTTGTGCGGTGTTACCCCCTCGACGGGGGCTATCTCCCCTGGACTAGCCCAGGGAGGGAGAGGCGGAAGAGGGTAGTAGTCTCAGGAGGCTGTTTGGCGTCCTGTGGTGTGAGCTCTTTGCGCTCTTTTTTGCGTGAGGATTTTTGAGCTTGGTGAACTCCCCAGCCCGGGAAGACTCGTCGGGCTCCCGGTCGCCCAAGTCCTGGTAGCGAGCTCTCTGAGATGCTCGGTTCGTTCGGTCGGCAGGAAGAGCCCCCCAGTTGCGACTTCGTTTATGTTAGGAGACCAACGGGCATAGATCCCGTCTAGTTGGAGCGCCAAACAAGCGCTGTTGCGTGCCGGCCGTCGTTTCCCGTGCGGCCTGACCCGGGGGCGGAGTGCATGAGACTAACCAGCCGTATGCACCCGCCCCCCGCGCTGTGCTTCGGCCCTGGGCCCCCGGCTTTTCAGCCCACAGTGTAATCAACGTCATACATACATACATACATACATACATACATACATACATACATACATACATACATACATACATACATACATACATACATACATACATACATACATACATACATACATACATACATACATACATACATACATACATACATACATACATACATACATACATACATACATAGCCTACACGTCCACACACGTCTGGAGCAACTTTCTTAGAGCCGCGTTAGCTACACACATATGTGTGGGGGTGTCCGTAAAAGCCTAAGGAGGGCCGTGGACGGTCGTTGCTTCGTTGAATTCCGGTCTTCCGACAACATCGACACATCGCTCACGGCACATCGCAGATCTACCGGCGGAACGTACCTCTTTCAAGCTGCCGGGGCAGTTAGGTACGACGCCGTACGCCTGCCGTACCGCCTGCCACACCAGCCCGACATCAACACCCCGTTGTTTCTGCGTGCCGTACTGCTGCGTCGCTGCCGACGCCGCCGACGCCGCATCGCCGCCGTCGGCATGTAGTACCTGATCCACCAAGCTGACCAACACCTGCCGTCGTCGTCACCGCCACCATCGCCGTCGTACGTTATCAAGGGAGGGGCAGTACGGCAGTAATCGTACAAGGAGAAAAGTATGCGCGTTTGATAGAAGATGAGATCTGTAATTCATGGATAGGGTCATCAAATGCATCCTTTACCAGCATCACCACGTCATGTACGGCAATGGTGACGGTGGGAAATCATATGATAATAATGCAAGCAAGGAGCGATGCCGACAACGGCAAACTGCCGACAACGTCCAAACCGCCAGCGGTTTGAAAAAACGGGTGAATGAAGCCCAATACGATTTCTTTCCTGGTGCTATTCAACAGCTTGCGGTACCTACCGCGGTCGGGTCCCCCACCCCACCCCCACCTTGCTCAGGGTGGTCACGGCGCTGCAGTTCTCTGCCGCCAGGTACACAGCCACAAGGTTGCACAGCGCCGCAGGCATGTGCTCCTCCTCTTCCACTTCCTTCTCCTCCTCCTCCTCCGCCGCCGCCGCTGCCTCGTCATCCTCAGTGTCTGGCTCCTTCACCGCCCCCACCATGGGCGGGCAACCAACGCCGGAAGCTGAAACGTGGCGGCGGCCGCAACCCCGGCGGCGGCGGCGGCAAATGCGCGCCAGGACCGCCGGGTCGTACGCCAGCGTCTGCAGCAGCGATGAGGGCACTTCCAAGACGTCCAGCGGCAGGTGTATGCCGCTGAAGTGCATCAGTGTCCTACCGCCGCCAGCATCGCCGCCGCCGCCGCCATCAACAGGCCTAGGCGCCGCGGCGGAGAGCAGCAGGTGCAGCGCGTGGCCCATTTCGTGTAGGAGCTCGTGTAGCGCCGCCGGGCTACCTGGAGGAGGTTGGCGGCATGGCGCGGGTGTGTAGGAGGTGTTCTCTCATCCTGGATCAACCGAGAGCCGCCGTTAGAAGGAAACGATGACGATGACACATTGACACGAGCCGCATTACTTTACCAAAGGGACGACACCAGCACCGAGCGATGTAGGTTGTTGCTGTTGTTGCTGTTGTTATTGTAGGTTGTAGCACCGGATATGCAGGTTGCGCAATGGAGCTATTTTCTTGGGGCCCGTTGCGGCTCAACCAGGGGGCCGCCCCCACCTGGAGCGCTGAGGGGCCTGGGTGGGGCCGGTCGAAGGCTGCCACATGAACGTTGTGCCGAACTATCCAAAAACTATATTGTCGTGGAGTTCTCCTGGGGCTAGGTAGGGAGGCACACTTGCCGGAGCTGTGCTCTGCTGCTGCTACATGGCTTGCTCCATCCCTCTTTCTCCCCGCTTATTAGCACCGAAGGAGCAGCGCTGCTCTGCCGCGCGAGATATCTTGATGCCATTGGCCGTACGGCGTAATACACAGGTACACACGACGCAGCCCCCTCCTTCCTAGACTTCCCACCCAAAGGAAGGGCAACGGACATGCATACATACAGGCAAAGGCACGGCGTTGAAAACACTCAGCTGTCGTATACCGCACACCGTACGCCATACTGTACCTGTACGGCCGTTGCGCCATTCCGCTTGCAGCCCGATGGCAACTGCGGCTACCGATGACTCGTGGTCGGCGTTGTACGGCAAAGCTCCGGAACCACCAGTACTGTCGGGGTCACCGTTGCTGGCCCCGGCTGGAAATCGCAATTGCCGCGTGCCGTACCCGGATCCTGGATGCAGGTATACGACGCCCACCAGACCGCGTTCCGACCAAACGGTCACGCGAACGACCCGTGGGTCCCACAGCTCGGGTGCTAGTACGGGTGATGAGTGCCACCCCACTCCCTCAGCCACGTCTGCATCATTCAACGCATCCACGTCCTCAGCGACTTTTATTCGCACGTGCATCAAATCGGAGAGCTCCTCACTTAAGCCGTACAGTACGGCATACAGGTGCATGTACGGCTCCAGCTCCGACGGGTCTGTGGACGGGTTGAGGCAGCGTAGGGGGGGGGAGCCACAGGAATTCTCCAACGTGTGAATGAAATGGGCAGGGAGTTAATCATAATAATATCATAACTTAATATCATACTACATGCAAATTCCTAAGAAGTAAACAAATAACCGACGTGCAACTAATCAACTGCCCGCGGGGATGGGGTCGGAGAAGGGTAAGCAGCCGTTGTGACACCAAAAATCAACAACGTCGGATGTTCGATCCCACCTGGGGGCAATCCACGCCGCCTCATCAGCAGCTCCCGTGCGTAGTCCACATCCCAGGGGGCCAGGTCCGGCAGGGGCCACCCGTCCGCGGCTGTGGGGACGTCGCGGCGCTGCGGAACGCTGCCGCCGGAATAGCAGCCGCCCGCGAAGCTGCTGTCGCGCACGCCCTGTCCACTGTCGCCGGTTACGCCGCCGTCGCTGCTGTTACGGCTGCTGCTGTTGCTGTTGCCTTTGCGGTTCAGTTTGTCCTGGCTATCCTCTTGACCTTGGGGTCCCCCTCCCACAGTGTCCCTTCCCCCCTCCTCACCGCCCTCCGCACCCTCCCCCCTCTTCTCCCCCTCCTTCCCCCCTTCCCTCTGCGCCTCCGCTCCTAAGGCTTCTCGAAGCTGCTGAACCTGACGCAGCAAAACACACACGACGCGTGGGGAAGTGTGTGGGGTACTACAGTGGGCATGGAGTGCACGGATAGCTACAGGGAAAGGGAAAGGGAAGCGTCAAAGGCGTTTTGGGGTGTTGACGAGGCGGACATATCAGGCGGTTAACGGGCAAGGGGCTGCTAATAAGAAAAGCGAGCGCGGGACGTGCCGTGACAGGGGGAGAGAGAGATCGGGGTCGGGGCCAGGGCGTGGGGATTACGGGTAACAGTGCGCGGCCGCCCTGAGAGGCAAACCTCTCGCTACACAGCCGCCACTAGATGCCCCCCTTGGGACAAGTCCCGCCCGACACCCGCCTCCCTCCCCTCCCATCCAAAGGCATGTAAATCTCAGGTCCCCGCTTTCCCCCTCTCTTCCGCACCTCTTCCTCAGCTTCCCGGCTGAGGACCTCTGCCGTGTCCTGAAGGAAGAAGGAATGTACGGCATTCACGGAGATGGGACCGTTGGCTTGGCGATCATTAAGTTAACGGTTAGTTGGTTATTGGTTGGGTGGTTACTTGGGACGAAAACGAAAGCACCTAGCCCTGTATGTGCGTACACAAAGCCGCAGACAGAGACACAAACCCAGGGAGCTCACATCTGCCCATCCATTCGTCGTCCCCAGACATGCCGTCGTACACAAAGAAACCACCCAATGCACGGTTTCACCTGCAGTAACGCCAACTAATTACCTGCAGTAACGCCAACACCGCCTCTCCATCAGCTACAGCCAGGCCCGCCCGGCTGTAGCTGAGATCCACAAAGGAGCAATAGCCCTGCAGCGCCGCCAGCCGCTGCCGTACAACCGCCAGCTCGCCCAGCCGCTGCAGCGCTGCCGCCAGCCGCGGCAGGAACCCCGCCTCGTACACGGCAGCACGTACGGCACTACAGGGGTGTCGGCGGAGCAGGGTGCGAAGGTTAGTTGGTGTGAGCGGCAGCCCAGCCGACCGCGGAACGCCCGCCGCCGCCGCGGCGGTGAGCATTGGGCCCAATAGTGGGTCCTGGTATAGCAGCTCGTCGTACGGCTCCGAGTGCAGCTCCGAGCTGCCGTGGCAGTGGTCAGGGCTGCGGAGGCGGCGCCCTGCCTGCAGCGCTTCGCACAGCTGGGCCAGCGGCAACGCGAGGGGCTCCGGTCCGGGGCCGTACAGTACGGCGGCGTCCACTGCCGCCGCCGCATCGCGTTCGGCCGTCAGCATGCGGGTGAGCTTCAATTGTAAGTTGCTGGGAGCTGTCTGAAAGGGACCGAAGAGGGGGGCGACGGGGGGAGTGGAATTGAAGGCGAGGGAAGGGAAAGGGAGGGGAGCATCCGTGGATCACGTAGATCGAGACGGGGTAATGAGTGTAGAGCATTGAGAGAGAAGTGTGGAGCATTACAGAAGTGTAGAGCATTACAGAAGTATGGAGCATACAGAAGTGTGGAGCATTACAGAAGTGTGGAGCATTACAGAAGTGTGGAGCATACAGCAAAATAATGGTATCAGTTGTGGTGAAGAAGAAACGGAAGGGCTGGTTACTGGAGGTTACTGGAAGTTGTTTCGGGCTCAATGAGCACGGATCATACATACATACATACATACATACATACATACATACATACATACATACATACATACATACATACATACATCCTGAACTCCTCCATGCCATCATAAGGCCGGGCATCCCCCAGGTCGTTACCTGCCAGGTCGCGCGCTAACAGCATTGCTTCTGACAGCAATGCTGGTGCCATCCTCACATGCCAGTGACCTCACCCACCCACTCACCCAGCTCCCCACCCACCCACCCGCACAGCGTACAGCCGGCTCAGCGCAGCGCCGCCGCCCTCATCCTCCCCATCCTCCAAACCCGCGCCGCCTCGCAACAGCGACCGCCGCAGCAGCTCACACAGCCGCATCTGCAGCCGCAGGTTCATCATCGCCTGCTGCTGCTGCTGCTGTGGCTGCTGCTGTTGTTGCTGCTGTTGTGGCTGCTGCTGTTGCTGCTGCTGTTGTAGGAGCAATGTTTTCATCTGGGTCGCCAAGCGCTGTGACGTGAGGTCTAGCTTGGCCAGCAAGTCCCCATCGGCAGCCTGGTCGGTGAGGGGTGGTACTGGGTGGGGATCAGGAGGGCGGTGGAAGAGGCCGAAAAAGAACCCGGAGAAACCTCAATTCGAAACCCACAGGACACAGTCAGTGTCGGCATCCAACAGACATTACAGACTGCGAACTCTTTGCATTCCTCCTTCCTTTTTCCTTGCTCCTTTGTCCCCTTCCCATTTTCCCCGGGAGGAAGAGGAAGAGGCCACGCGCGCACCTGAAACACGTACGTTTCGTACTTGGCGCACGCCGTCGCCACTTCCGCCGCCGCCTCACGCCAGTCGGGGCTTACATGATGTATGGCAGTGTGACGAGACACCGCGGTCATGGTGCGCAGCTCCGCTAGGAGGTGATCCATGAGAGCCAGGAAGGCCAATCCGGGGGGCTCCCTGGAGCTCGCTCGGAGCAGGACATCCAGGCGGGGGCGTACGACAAGGTGCCAGTAGTCGCGGAGGAGCGCTGGCGTAAAGACGCCCGGCAGGCCGCATAACCCAAATGTTGATCCTTCTGCTGCTGGTAGTAGTGGTTGTGTGCGTGATGCTAAGGGGTGAGATGCGGCTGGCGAGTTGGAGTGGAGGATGCTATTTACAGCTCGGTCTGCAAGGGAACGGCTGGCGGCTGGCGGCGGCGGGAAGGGGATACGCGGTGGTGTCTGGCTGAGATGGCGATTGTGGCTTGGGAAGCAGCGGTGCGCCGCTGGCGCTGGGGGGATGCGGAAGGGCGGTCCGGCGGTTGTAAGGTAGCCTAGGGGTGGGATGTAGGTGCGTGATGGAAGGTGGATGTAAGGCGGTCGGGTTCTCGAAAACGGGAAAGTTGAATGCGCATGGCAGAGGATGGCGTGGCGCAGGTCTATTGAGGAGTTCTGAAATTGGAGACGCGTGGTAGCCAGGTCATAGGATTGACTCATCGGCTTTGAAATTGGAAATGGAAGTTTGATGTTAACGAACTTGCCTTCAACGGAGTCTTACATCAGCGAGCTCCGGAACCTGGGGTACATTGTCGCTTAAGTGGGTACGCAACATAGCTGTGGACCCATATGCATAGGTTATCGTGATTCCTGTTAGTCTGAGATCAATGCAGGCCTCTTTTTCCGGGCGCAGCGCACCTGCTGCGGCACAGGGGCGCTTGGTTAGCAGGAGCGCCACTGTCTATGTCGTCTGCAAACAATATGACGCCTCTGCGCGGTGAGAATAGTTGACGCGTCAGAAGGAAAACGGGTGAAGGCGCTTACAGTTCGCCTTTACCATTCAAACTCATAGGGTCAAGGGCTCTGTCAGACGAGTCTTCAAATATGCTGCGGATTTTGAACATTTACCCGAATGGTACCCAGGTAAACTTCAGCCGAAAAGTGGTTGGCACCACGCGGTGAATGTGCTTCAAACCGCGTCGGCACCTAATCTTGGCAGGCGTCAACGGCGTGGCGCGGACGCGAGGCGAGGGCATCAATCTTAAGAACACATATACGGTTGAGCGCACGATAATGAAGATGAAGCATGAATCACAGTAAGCCCGTCTTGCCTCTTAAGCTGTTGCCTTTTGTCCCTCTCAATTTGTGCAAACTTTCTGGCCATTTTACTTCCCGCCATCAATTGAATTTGGCTGAATGTCTCAGGTACGAGTTAATTGACGTTGTTCCCGGGCGAAAAGTGGTTTACAGTGCTCAGAGTCCGGTCCACACTGCAGTCCATCAGCTGTACTTTATGGAAGACCCCACGGTGAGCAAAGCATTTACGCCATGGAAGGGCATGCTACTAGCGGGTCCTGCTGTCGCGCGGAGAAACCGCTACCCGTCGCCAACTGCTTCACGTCCCACATGTTTACCCGGCCTACTAGACAGAGGAGCCGCCGCTTTCGCCCCTTGTTCCGCGCAAGGCTGGACCTTCCCACGGGGATAAAAATTTCCACCCAATGGCCGTCACGCGTGTCTATATTCCCGGCCTTCCCCAGTATGCAATTTACGCGCTTTGGCTGTTCATGCGCTGGAACCCAACCCTTGTCCCCAGGACCGCAACTACACGAACGTGCGGTACATAAAGAAGATTCAGTTACGAAGCATTGCGGGTCCCCTGCAGCCGCTGGTGTCGGGTAAGCGGCAGGACGGTTATGGCAGGACGGCAATGGAGAAGGCTCTGGAGGGATAAATCCCCCCATACGCATGGTGTGCAACACGATGCGTTCGTGCGCATGCATCCAGCCCCCGGCACACCGTATATATCCTCGGAAACCGGGGACGATACGGGCCTGATGCACGCGGCGATGCAAATCGACTGACGGACCGACAGATTGACGGATAGGCTCAGCGCGCCTCCGTTTAAACGCACCTACGTTGTCGAAAATCACGCAAGTGTGCACGCAGGCAGCATTCCTTGCCGCTGCAACGTGTTACCGTGTCACGTTGATTTTGCATTCGTGTGTCGAACTGCAACAACAACTAGAGCAACAGCATGTTTCAACTCGTATTCGTGCAGGCGCTCTGAGCAAAATTCCCGAGCAGGGGCTCTCCAACCTAGCCAAGCTCCTCATCAGCCCGGATACACCCCTTAGCAAAATTCAGGTAGGTGCATGTAACACCGTAACGCATCATAACACACGCGTGGAAAAGCGCGTACTGGGCCTGGGCTGTCTGGTTTCGGAGCTATCCCCTGGGAACCATCCTCGCGGCGCACAGGTGCTACACAACTGCCGTGGCCGTCTCGACAATCTAAAGCAGCGGCCTGCTAGCTAGCTTAATTAGGTGTTCTGAAGCTGGGAAGGAGCCGACACGGGTACGTGGGTTGGCATGTGCCCTGTGCAGCCGATTCACACCGGGCGGCTGCCAGGGCCGCACCATACCGCGTTAGTCTGTACGTTTGTCTGTCTCTGGACATTGAAGTGTGTCTCTGGACATGTTCTCTTCCTAGAGCCATGCGCTCTAGGTGGAGAGAGGTTTGGGTATGTGTAGACCTTTGTAGACCTTTGTTGCGGCCCTCCGTCCCCTGCCCGTGCCGTATGCTTGACTGACTCATAGTTGGACCCTGACGAGGAGGAGGAGGAGGTCCGCGCGACCAAACCAGCTGCTGGCTGGTCCTGGCAATCCGTGTGGGACGGTAGGCGCCCGGGATGGGGAGCCCTTAAACACATTCGGGGGTGGATAGCAGGACGTCTCACTCTCACTCCACCTGCAGGCCTTCGTGACATCTCCGATGGCATGTTTCCCTACGTTTCGTGAAGCATATCTCAGCCGGCGCGGGCCCTCCATATCCTGCTTCTCACCCACTACCCTGAGCTCGAGATCTTCTCCTTTACCCTCTTGCTAACTGTCATTTGCACACATTTCTGCGTGAATATGGATGGGCTGTCATTTATTTATATTTATTCCTGGATACCCGCTATCACCCGCCCTCAGGACTTGGCCTTGGCTCCATTTCCAACGGGTCGTCTTCCTCGGGGACTGCCGTCGTCAGAAGCGGCCGCGTGGTCGACACCCTGGGCTACTACGCCATTCTAGGGTTAGATGTACGACGTGGTGGCCAGTACGGACCCGATGACATCAAGGCTGCGTACCGCGCGCGGGCCATGGAGATGCATCCAGACAAGGTATGTGCACGATCATGCCGCTGATGGTGAAATGGCATGTGGACGTACTCTTTTTCGTACGGACGACCTTCTCCATGCGCAGAAATGTATCCTGATTTTTGTTTGAGGGTCCCTTCCCCCCTGGGTATGGATATGGACATATGGTCGTGTAGGTATCTGTGGACGACACTGCGGCTCAGCAGTCGGCAACCCTGAAGTTCAAGCGGCTGCAAAAGGTACGGCACACGGGGGCCCACTGTACGGGACTGGGGCCTGCTGTAGGGCTTGCAAGCGGCTGCGTCAGGTAGCAGAGGGAGTGCCCCTTAATCGATGGATGGGATGGTGGTGGGGGACACTCAGCCAGCCGCCCAGTCTCTGCATGCGAAGATGCAGGCCGCCGGATGCACACGCACACACACACACACACGCGCGCGCGCGCGCGCGCGGGCGCGCGCGCGTTTGAGACGTACGCTTGCGGAGATGCTGGGAAAAGGACGGAAAAAGTTGTTCCTGACAAGATTTGAACAGGCGAGGGGGACAAACCACCTCGGCGTCATCACCCACCTGGCCTGTTTCAGCAGCGAAGGCGGCACCACTCATATGCTATAAAGATTTCGGACATCCTTTACTGCCTCCTCCCCCCCGTCCTGCTGCCCCTCTGCCCGCACCCGATGCTCAATGCTCCCCCCCACTGCCCGACGACAGGCGTACGCCGTTTTGAAGAATCCGGAACACAAGCGCATGTACGACTCCGGGAATCTTGTGGAGGAGTTGGTGCAGTGACTCATGGCTTGCGCGGAGTAATAAATGATATAAATGCAGAATGCACATGCACGCACAGTCGGATATGGCATTGCTGCTTGCCTTCTTTCCGCGGAGAGATATTAAAAACGAATCATGATCGACATGTTTCCTCGCGACTGGACGGTGGACTGACATTTAGCTTGGCATAGCTGCGGCGCAACAGCGATGGGACGGACGGAGGCGTTCGGAGGGCTGGAGAGGGCGGGGGCAGGTCTGGGGTGGCGGGAGTGAGGGGCCGGCGGTGAAGAGGGCGGGGAGGACCGGGGGTGAGGCTCAGGGAGAAGCCGGCTCTTGATGCCGCCACACACGGTGACTTGAGGCTTTCGCAAAGCAGGCGACATGTATGCTCAAAGCAGTTTCGGTGGAGAGTTGCAGGTCTTCTTCTTTCCTATAGTTGATTTTGGTTCATTGGGGATGCAGTTGTCAATCGGTAGCTCAAGGCGGCGCCATAGCACGAGAACGGTGATGGATTTGGAGAGCGGTGGGTGAGGGTGTCAGCGCACGCGTGATCCTGCCGTTGTTCCGTTTGCTTGGCGTGTGGTGATGGTGCTGGTGGTATCGTCTTGCCGCAGGTGTAGGGCGCTGCTAAGAATTCTAAGTAGCATGCCGAGGCCGAGGCTTCGCAGCAGCGTGAGAGATATTTTTGTTCACATTTGAAAAGTTGATCGACATGACGCGACGTGCGACTGCCTTGAGAAGAAACTCGAACCTATGCGGGTCATGCGCACGGGCCACACAGGCGGTGTGCTGATTGGTGGCTGGCTGGTTTAATTGCTAGCGTGCTTGTGGGATCCATCCTTAGAGAGCGGTCTTGGCATGCCACATCGCGGAAAATGTTCTGATGGACGGGTAGAACCCCGAAGTGGGCCGACTTTGGTGCCGATGTTAGAACTGTCTTCTATGTCTTGCGGGACCCTTGGATGTGCATACGGTCAATCCATCTGAACATACGATTGTTGCAACGGTTTTGGTCGCAGGTCTCTTGTTGCTATAGGCCTGCCCAGGCTTGAATAGTTGCCTGTTAATTTGGTTGAAGATGTTGATGTGTGCGGTGTGCAGATTTCATCATGCGCTGCCGAAAGGAGCAGAGTTGTGGCTGCGAGCTTAAAAAATTTCATGGGCGTGCTCAGTACCAGTATGAGGAGGTTACGGATGGAGTGGAGTAATGGCACTGAGACCTTCGTGTAACTTGGTACGAAGTAAAAAGCAGAAACGGGAAAGCCCAAAAGCGGTAGCTGACGGGGCGGGACGAGGGGTACGACAAAGGCTGCGCTGCAACCACTCAGCCCTTATGCTTTGTACCCGCAATCGCTCATAGGAATCAGCAGTCAGACAGACGGTAGCGATATGGGTTCAGTGTGTAGCGTTCTGAGCACATTAATCCCCTCCATACAATAGTTACTTCTCGTCCTCATCTTTGCGTCGAGTAGGTCCATTCATCATAGTTAGTCCCTGCAATATCACAAGTATATGCGGACATAACTACGCCTTCTGGGGATAATATTACGCATCGTAGGCGAAATGTGTGTGTCCTCCAAGGGAGCAATGGCGAGCGGACAGAGCCCAACGGACACGGTGGCAGCAGCAACAAATCTTTACGAGGTGCTTGGGTTATCTATGAAGGTATGGGCACATTAATGCATGTTACACTGCGTTTTGTATGTCTTTTTGTTCTCCCCGTCAACTCCAATTACTATATTTTCTACAGGCCACAACTGAGGAGATACGAGTATCATATCTGAAGCTGGCACGGGTATGTTTGCGCGTGTTCAGGGCACGGCTACCGCAGCCATACGTGGTGGTCCATGGCTGGATTTGGTGCAGCGTGTCATCGGTCACAGTCTAATGAAAATATTTTAAATCTTTTACGTTATGCTAATTAGGCACCGGCCACGCTAGGAATGGTAACGAGGGCTATTTGCCCACTGCATTCCTTCCGGCCATTCTTAATCGGGTTTAAATAACACGTTGGCGGGCCTTGTATAGGGCTTGGCATGCGCGATTGCATGCTCCCCGCGTCCCTATGTGCTCTAACCAGTCCTGGCCCGCTCCTGGGTCGCGAACGCTCATGCCGTGCCTTGTCCTGCTGCAGATATGGCACCCGGACAGACATTCCAACGCCGAGTACGCAAAGCGGACGTTCCAGTCCATCCAATGCGCATACGAAGGCAAGTTGCATTGTTGCAGCCTCCGTCCGAGGGGGGCCCTGCGCACACCTACCCCATGGCGCTCATTTGTCCCCGGCACGCTGCCTTGACGCTGCTTTGCATGTTCGTTCGAACCAACACAACAGACAAACTGACTGTCGCGCTGCCTTGACAACAACCGTGCAGTGCTGTCAGATGAGCGACGGCGAGCCGACTACGACCTCCAATGGCTTCAGCTCCTAGACGTAGAGGTGAGACTCCGGCGCCTCTCATGCGCTCCTGCATGATCCTGCGGATCAAAGACCCGTGTAGAGTAGTGGCGGCCATCCTGGGGGGGGGGAAAGAACGTCGCTTCAGCCCGGAAGGGCTATCCATGGCAGGGCTTTTATACACAGCAGCTCTCCTCCCACCTCATAACTCCCTACAGGACTATTTGGACCGGTTTAAGGAGTTCATCTTGACCGCGAACGGGCTTGGAATGGCTGTGGGCAGTCATGCGAACGGCTCCGAGCAGGGCAATGGGCCATCGGGCGGCGACAGCGAACGAGGGCATCCCGTGGCGCTCTGCCAGGCGACCATCAAGGCGGCGTGACCGGCGGACGACAAGCGGGCACAGCACGGCAGGGCATCTAGCATTCTTTTCGGACGCACTTCACTGGCACCTAATATATGCCGCCCGTGAAGATAGGCATTTCGTTTTGCTGTTGCATCTGCGCAGCGTGTTTTTAGCAGCGAGGAGGTGCGCGGGGGAGAGTGCTCTAGGGAGTGTGAGAGGGATGACGGGGCAAGGACAACAGCGACCTAAAGATAGACAGACGAACTATCGCATGAGCGCCACGTCTGCTTACCCACCAAATTGGAGATGTTCTAGTCGATGTTATCGACACGTAATGACCTCTCATGGACTGCCAGGTCCCTACGCGAGCCTGGGTGCCTAGGGCGCCTAGCCCTGGCTGCTTGAAGGCTTCGCTCTTTCGGCCACCCCCTGGGAGGTGCTGGTGGGAGCTCCGGTTTGCAGCTTTCCAGGTTCTCTCAATTATCAAGGTTCAAAGGCAGTTCCGCCTCTCCTGGAGTAGTCGGCCAATAGTTGGGCAGTCGTCGGCCTCCCTTTAGTATGCGATGAGTGATATCCGATTGCGTGTGTGTATGTATGTATGTATGTATGTAGTGACATCGCCCTGCGAAATACCCGGTTTTTACGGACAGCTCGCTCATCCTCATTAGGGCGGTGCCGTGGGAGACGGGATCGGGCGGTGTAGGGTGGCTTCTAGTGGCGGAGGTTGCGCGCACTGGTGTTAGTAGGATGTTTGTAGTTTTTTTGACGAGTTGTCAGGTGGTAAGGGGAGAGAGCGAGAGGGAGAGAGAGCAAGGCCCCGCGTTGAGCGGCAGCGGCGCCATGCGATTAGTAGTGTTGCATTTCTCCTAGCTGGTACGGAATCCGGCGGCCATCGTACACGTTTTTCCGTACCTGGCATAGGGCGGTCGGCATTTTTCACTTTTTGGGCGGTACACGGGTTTTAAGTTGATATTTACGGGCGGTTTTGACGAATGGCGGATTTTCAATAGCAGCCTATCGCTGTTAAGTCCTCGCAGTGCTGTGCTGTACTGGCTGTGTTGTGCCATGCTGTGCTGGCTTGGCGCTGCTCCTGGCAATGTGCTGCGGGTTACAGCACGTCGAAGGTCGTAGGGCCCCGGCTGGCAAGAAGCGGTGGCGGTGTCTCGTGTGGCCGTGACGTCGGTTGGTCGGTAGTAAGTGCGGTCCACGGCCGCCGCTGCGAGACGTGCCGGAGGTGTGCGTTCTGTCGTACCACTGTGACGTGGCTGTGAGGCTGTTGTGCGGTTGACGAGCAGCTGACGAGTAGGAGAAACATTTTCACCCCCACGTACGGGAGACGTTCGCGACTTTTTTTTACAAGTAGGAGGGGGACCAGAGAGCTTGAGCGCTTCATTTACCAAGGAGTTGGCAGGACGTTTTAAAGGAGTTCTTCACGTGTGCAGACGTCTCGTGTTGCCGCATGGTGACCAGCATTTTGGCTCCCCCCATTCGCGCATGTGTATTTGTTGCCTCTTTTATTGCATGTTATGTGTGTTTTTGTGAGGCATTTTCAAGCTTACACATGCCCTGCGCGTGATATGATGACCCGCGCCTCCCCTCCCTGTGTTTCACCACCTTGCTGGGTTGTGTTCTTTTGCATATGCGTCGCATCTAGGTTATGGAGAGAGCGCGAGAGAGCGTGTGCGAGAGGGAGTGAGAGGAAAGCTTGTGTATCCGGCTTGTGGAGCGGTCAGGTAGGACTTTCGCGCTTATGTACTATATAGTGGCAAGTGCGTTTGTGTGGGAGTGCATGTGCGTTCCGATGCCTTTTGTGGTCGTGTGGTGGTCGTGCATCGCGTGTGGTCGTCTCCCTTCCTCGTGGTCTACAGCTGAATTGAGAGCTTGTGTTTGTGACTGCCCAAGCCTCAATTCGATGACCTCCTGACTACATATGGTTCCTAATGAGGTGTGTGTCTGTGTGACAAAATTTTTACCGACCTTTGAAAGCCTGGACCCCATGCCGGTTCCAGTTTGAGCTAGTTGCTGTATATTGCTGCTTTCAGTTCCATAAGGTTGCAGCTCCATGGAACGGCTGCAGAAACGGCCCAAAGATCGGAAATTAAAGTTGTTACAGCCCTGCAAGGGTATATACTGTAACCTTTTTGTTGATGTCCGGGTAATGAACTACATAACCCGAAGCGGGCACGTGCTTTCTGTTTTTCCGTAGCTTGATGCCTCGTTTCATCGGGAATTGGCTTACATTGGCTTAAGGGGCATGAAGGTGCGTTTGCTGCCTGTTAAGTGTATGATGCAAGCGCGCAAACAACTAAGTCCTTTGTATGTATGGCATAGAAGGTCCCCACCCCCGAGGTCTAAACAAGAACATGCAAGTCTATAACGTGTCACGCGACAACATGCACTGCGAGCTGCAAGGGGACTCAGGAACGCTCAGATTACCGGTATGGATTGACGTGAAGTTCGATGTACGGGGACGAGGTGCAGTGTTGGTATTCCAGGACGAAAGCGCGTTCCTCTTCAAACTGATGTGCACATGATTACGTCCTGACAGCTTATATTAACCTCGACATCGCGGTGTTGATTGCGAGTGGTAAAGTTTAGGGGACTTGTTTTCGTAGCGATACCGTGGTAAGCAATTGCCACCAGCGGCTTCTGTGAAATTCTATAATAGGATTTATATTAGAGACTGATAGAGTCGCAATTTTGCCGTGGACTTCGGTTTCACCTTCGTCGACACAGCGAAAATGGCGCTTGAGGCTGGCGAGATGGCTGTTACGGTGGAGTTCGCCAAAGATCTTAAGGACAAAGACTTGTAAGTATCGTTATGTGCCTGTAATCGAGGTAGTCAACCAGTCAATGTGAGCTGGAGTTCGTTGCTTTTATCCCACCGCAAAGTTGGTCCTGGGGATATGCTGTATATCAAGCAAATGTCAATATGAAATGAAAGCATTGGCTTGCCCTCTTCAATGCCCGTTACGCCACGTTCTGCCTGCTACCGGACATCAGCTTCGGCAAGCAGGACCCATACTGCATAGTTAAAGTGGGGACTCAGCAGTACCGCACACGGACCGCCACGGGTAAGCTTGCCGTTCTTACAGAATTCAAGTTCTGCAACTCACCGAAGACCTCATGAAAACTTGCGTCTTCGTCTGCTTGTAAACATGGACTGCAAACTGCCGTCAACAGATGGCGGCAAGCGACCGGTGAGTTATGCATTTGCTATAAGAAACCAAAGGGCTCGTGACAATCCAAAGGTCCTGGCAACACAGCGGTGGTTGACGCGGAATCCCGGGGTACGGGAAATAGTTCGGGTTTGGGGTGGGTGGGTGGGACAATGTGCAAAACAGCATGTCTCTATAGTTTAGACTGCCACCGGGGCCTTGCTTCGGCGCATGCCCTTACACTGAAGACGTCCTCGCAAGCCCACTCACCTGACTTCACCCTTGTGGTTGTACTCAACATTGCAGGTGTGGAACGAGGTGCGTGACCGGGCTCGCATGACGTGCTCCAGGTCCTCGTGCTCCATCGACCTGGGCCCCTTTCGCCAAGCATTGGGAAGCATGGCTGGTTGCCCTTATCGCCTGAACGACTTCGTATGCCGCAGACATTTCGCTTCAATGTCCTGAACGAGAATGATGCGGAACTCGTCATCAAAGATGAGGATGTGGGTCATGACGATAACCTGGGCTCCGCCCGAGTTTCTTTTGCGCGGGTGAGAAGGTTGCCACAGGGCGCGGCGCAATTTACCTGTCGGGCGGGACACGAAATGCTGCATCCCTCAATCTCTGGACCCCTCCATCCATGGTATTTGAACTACTGGTGCGGCTACATCCCTCTCAGCACCTCTTGGTCTACATCACCGGTGCTGGACTGCTGATGCAATCCTCTTCCTTACCTTTGGGTTTGGAGCTTGCCAACGGAGAACTGTCTTTTTTCAGCTTGTTTTTTCAGCATGGGTAGGGATCTTTTGGCATGGCTTGGACCCCGTGATGTGCGCCGAACGTGACCGATGCCAACGGCCGGCGCACTCCACGCCAACGGGTGCTGAGCACCATTGCACACATTTTCCACGACCGCACGAAGACATCGACAGACATCGTCACCGGCAAGGTCATCAGATTGATGTGCGACACCCCCAACAGGAGGAAGGACATACCAACCTTACCCACAACCCTACAGGACTGCTACATCACCAGACTGGGATATACCGGCCGTGGTGGTGGCAGTGGGAAGCCGT